GACCTGAAACTTGCTCTGTAGGTGAGGATGATCTTGAATTTCTGATCTTCCTGCTTCTACCTTTCAAGAGCTGCAGTTTCAGGTTATACTACCAGGTATAATTTATGTGGTGCTGGAATTTGCACCCTGGACTTCATGCTAGGGAAGTGTTCTATTAACTGAGCCCTACATCCTTTATTTTTCTCCTTTTTTTCTTCCTTCTTTCCTTCCTTCCTTCCTTCCTTCCTTCCTTCCTTCCTTCCTTCCTTCCTTTCTTTCTTTCTTTCTTTCTTTCTTTCTTTCTTTCTTTCTTTCTTTCTTTCTCTTCCTTCCTATGTATTCTGAGGATCAAACATGAGCATCTGAGTACTATGCAATGATTCTACCGTTGAGTTACCTTCCCAGACAGAGTTTGCATTTTAATAACAGGATGCTTCATGCTACCAGTATTGTAGTAGTATTAAGTTGCAGTAAGAAGTCATCTGACATCTGAAAACTCTAAAAAAAAAAACAAAAACCAGGAGGATCACACTTCTACCAGACATCTTAATGGCATAAAGAGATAAAATTCTTTCTGCATTCAATCTTATAGTGATAATAAATCAAAATTTAGGTATGCAATCTTCATAAGTCAATGTATCAAACAACAAAGAAAAACATAGAAAGCATTTCATTAATACATAAACAATCTATATAATTAAGTAGAAAAAACAAGGCAATTGATAGGAAAATGATCAAAGCATGTAACTGGCATTGCAAAAAAAAAGTAACGAAGAGAGTCAATTATTGTGTCTGAAAATGTGTCCTCCAGGTGCATGTGTTGACATCCTGGTTCCTCATTCCTCAGAATGTCACTGTATTTAGAGACAGGGCTTTTGAGAAGCAGTTATGTAAGATGAAGTAATTAGGGTAGTCTTAATCCAGTATACTATCCCAGGAAAAGTGCTTAGGGTATACACTCATAGGGGAAGGTCACATAAGGACAAAGTAGGGCAGCATTCAGCCAAGGAGTAGGACTCAGATGAAGCCACACCTACTAACTCTTGAATCTTACCGTCGCCTCCAGAATTATGAGAACATAAAATTTTATTGTTCAAGATACCAACTCTGTGGCATTTTATTATAACAGCCTTAGCAAATTAAAGCAGTCAACAAATATAAATACTGAAATACATTCAAATTAAATAATAATTTGATCATATTGTATCACGTATTTGTGTCATATATTTGTGGATGAGGATATTACTTGGTGTATATTTAGAAGAGAAGTTGGAAATAACAATAAAAATTAATATACAACAAGAGGCACACTATTAAATCCCAGTACCGGGAGGCAGAGCTTTGTGAGTCAGAGGCTACACATACTCTCTATAGTCTATAGAGTGAGTTCCAGGCCAACCAGAACTAGACAGTGAGACCCTGTCTCAAAACAAATTTATATCTGCATTTCCATTGATCAAACAATTTTTACCTCAAGCAGAAATTATATATACAATACATTAAAATTTGCTAATGAAGAACAACTAGTGTGTACATTCAAAAGGATAACAAAATATGAAAAATTCCTAGGATGGAGAAAGTGGCACTTAAAGAAAAGGAATGAGGTAATTAAACCTGCTAAAAGAAAGTTGTCTATGGATGTCTGATGAATATTCATGATGTAATGTTAGTTTAAGAACAGCAGTGGACAGGCTGGGGAGACAGCTCAACAGGGGTAGTGTTTGCAGCACAAACATTGAAGACATTGCATTCCTAGTACTCATGTTAAGAGACCAAAAGATTAAAAATTAGCAGCTATTATTAAGGCCTGAACTAGGTGGGTGGAGAAGTCCAGTAATGCCCTGAGGGGAAGGACCTGCCTTACTACATTCTTTCCCCACTCATTAGAAATACAGTTGCTAGGAAACTGGCCCATCCCCCTAAGGAGGGATTCCAGATCATTAATGGCCTGGGAACCTTCCTATAGCCAATCGATTCAAAATGTAGCATTTTGACCAATAGATGCTTGCCAGGCAGGAATCGCCCCTGCCTTGGGCATGCTGGGAGGGACCAGAATCTTTAAATCACCCAACTAACCTGAGCACAGTGTGCTCAGCTCCCACCGCTTTGGCGGTGGAGGTGGATGTGTGTGGGCCCAAGCTGCAGCTTGTAATTTACAATAAAAAGAACCTCATGTATTTACAGCGAAGTCTAGTTTTTCCTGGTCTTTTGGGGTTCGAGAACTGAGCAGAACAATGTAACTACCTGGCCACGATGATGCTTAAAACCCCATCATCAAAGAATGGAAAAAAGAAGAACTCAGGAGGCTTATTGGCCACCCAGTCTGGCCAATTAGGGAGCTTTAGGTTTGGTGAGAAACCCTGTCTCAAAAAAATAAGGCAAAGCAATCCAAGAAGACACTTAAGGTTAACCTTTGGCCTCCACATGAACATACATGGTCACATGCTCCCATATATCTATATTTGTACACCCAGACATGTCATATATGTATATATATATATACAAATATATATATATGATACGATATATATATGATACGCATGTGTGCACACACCCACACCTATACACAAAGAGTGAAAGTAGTAGTGGAACAGTACATAGATTAGTTTCATTTATTTATAGGTACTGTATCCTTTTAGGTAGTTTAGGATATAAAATAAGACCATATTTTCTTGTTTTGGAAAATTGTATTCATTTTGATGAGCATTATGTAAAGACAGGGTGAAAATTAATTTTGGTTGTCAACTTGATGGTATTTATAATCACTATAGAAACAACCCCCTAGGCATGTCTGCAAGGGATTTCCTGGATTATGTAAACTGAGGAAGAAAGACCTACACTCTGGGTGGGTGGCACTTTTCCATTGTCTGGGATCCCCAGCTGAATAAAAAGGAGACAGTGAGCTGAGTGGCCGCATTCATCTCTCATGGTACTAGTCTCTTCTTTCTTACTGCCATGACTTCTTCATTATGATGGAATGTACCCATCTAAAATTATCTATTATGTTTAATTGGTTATTCTACCAGAAGACTTTAAAGATTTGGTTTAAGATCTCAAAGTTTAAGAATTTACTGGCACAGATCCTAGAAGATGCTTCGGTAGCACACATACATATAAAACAAAGTAGCAAACCAAGGTCACCAGAAAATTAATAGTGTCTTGTAATAGCCACTTAACTAAAATGGAAAGAATTTTCTGGAAAAAAAGCTTCTGTTATTTAAGTCTTGTCTCTTTCTGAACTGGTCAATACTGTGAAGTCCACCAGATAAAGCCTCTTAGCTTTAAAGGAAATAAGAATGAGTGTCTTTTGGGAGGTGGTATTGAAAGACCAAAAGATTAAAAATCAGCAACTATTATTAATATTTAAGGCCTGAACTAGGTGGGTGGAGAAGTCCAGTAATGCCCTGAGGGGAAGAACCCGCCTTACTGCATTCTTTCCCCACTCACTAGAAATATAGTTGCTAGGAAACTGGCCCATTCTCCTAGGGAGGGACACCAGATCATTAATGGTTTGGGGACCTTCCGATAGCCAATCAATTCAAAATGCAGCATTTTGGCCAATAGATGCTTGCCAGGCAGGAATCGCCCCTGCTTTGGGTATGCTGGGAGGGACCAGAATCTTTAAATCACCCAACTAACCTGAGCATGAGGGTCTCTCTGCTCTCACCACTGCTCTCACCACTTCTGCGTTGGGGGGTGTGAGCCCAAGCTGCAGCTTGTAATTTGTAATAAAAAGATTCTCATGTGGTTTGCAATGGACTCGGCTCCTGATGGTGGTCTTTTGGGGTATCGTGGTGTAAGGTGTTGTCAGTTTTGGATGGTGGTCAGGAGACCACACATTGACAACATGAACATTTGAGAAGTAAATATGTACTGGGGCTTTACCAGTAATAGGTTAAGTCTGACCTTGGAAATAATTTCAAGATAGAGATTAGTAAATTACTAAACTTGTTTGGAGCAATCTGGTTAAATAAGAAATTTCTTAGTTTCACAACTCAGACTTTCCAGTTTTTAATCCTTTTAGAAAAGCTCACTGTTCATTTATCCATTCTTTCCACAAATATTAAGAATCAAAAATTTGTGCCAGACTGCTCAATTTATCTCCACTGCTGTGATCTAGGCCACTCTCGGACTTGAGAGCACCTGTGGCAGGCTCTGAGTTCATGTCTAGGGGAATCTGAAGCTGGCCGTCTTACTCTGCCCTGTTGATAGTCTAAGAGCTAGTTATCGTGAATAATCAATGCCTGTACAGGTGTCTGGACATTACTTTTCTGATCCCAACTCTTCAACTTAATCTTATGTGGGCACTATTAAGAGATGAACACTATTTCAGAGGCTACTTGGCTCTCCACCCCTGTTTCTAATGTGGTACAGTTGATATTGATGCTTGAAGATCTGAGAGACATTATAGTTTTGGTTTGGGCAAGGTTCTTTTTTTTTTTTTTTCCCAAGCAACATACTTAGGTGTTTGTTATTTTCTGGAAGTACTCAGCCCCCAAATGAAACTTCGCACTGTATGTATTAATTCCCTGACCTCATTTATGTTTGATTCACCAAATAGATTTTAGATCTGTAAAATTGTGAGCTTGAAGGAAATCTCCCTTCAAAACACATTTCAGGCTCATCTGAGTGTCAAAGAGTAGTTAGGCCTTATCTAATCCTAGTTGCTATTTGTAAGCCTTCTGCTTGCCAAAAGATAGTGCTTTCTTAAAAACACTTTGTTTTTTCCTAAACATCCTTTTTGTTAATCTTTCAGTATGGATGTTTAAATGATACTATATTAAAAACCATTCATCTGATAACATTTAGGATAACTTTGTGCTTGCTGGGGGAAGGCAAGGGCATCTTTTGGATCAAATGGCACTAGTCCCAATAATACTGTGGAAGTATTGATTCCCTTTATATATTTAACACAGCCTAAAACAGAGAGGTTAATAATTTGTAGAGGTGCTTTATATTGGAATAGCATTTCTTCATTTTCTACGATTTGAGAGCTCAGTATTTCACAATTGTTAATTAATGGATCAATACTGTGTTATCAGCTGTCTTGGCTACTAACTGGTTTATAAAATCAGTGTATAGTCTCTGTAACTCTTTTATCATGGACCCAGATGCTTCATAGCAATTATTCACATTTATAAAAAGGTAAGAATGCCTATTGAAAACACAGGATAAACATGTGTGTAAGTGCCAGGGTATTGGATGCTCTTCAAAGATGCTAAGTCCTGAATCTAGGTTGGAATTGATGAGAACATTGGGATAAAGTTAAACTTGATAGTCATTTAGTTACTCTCAGTGATGTTAATATTTGAATGTGTTTGCGTTATCAGAGAAACCTGTCAAGAGATTATACTTGTTCAAAAAATAATGATGTGGTAGAAAACAGGTGATACAGTGCTGAGTTTAGATTTTTCTAGGTGCTCTGTAGGTGGATGGTGGAAGCAGAAATGTCTGCTGACCTGCTTGATGCATGCTGATCTCACCACACCCGTCTTATCCTCTGTCTGCGTTCGGAGATCGTTTATTTCTTTATTCAACAGGGTCTCACTATGTGGCTGTCCTGGAACTTGCTATGTACATCAGGATGGCATTGAACTCTTAGAGATCCACCTGCCTTCCTGGAAGATCTTTTTTTTTTTTTTTTTTTCCCAAGGTTCCTTTACAGATACAATTACACTTTAGGTTATGTTCTTTTTTTTTTTCTTTGTTTGTTTGCTTTCTTGCTTACTCCATTTTGATGTCCTTGAGAACAAACGATCGTTTTTTAATTAGTTTTTGAATCTCAAAGCATTATTTAGCCTTGTTTTTTTCTATATAGAGCCAATTAGCATTCATTTAATGTAATGTGATTTAGTACCTAATCAATGTTTGCTTAAAAACTCTGCTTTCTTGACAGTGCTCAATGGCCCCATGCTTCCCAGTACTCTGCCCCCCCCCCAGGCTTTCTATCTTTTTCTTTTGTGAGTTGCACTTACCTGGGTGCACACATGCCTGGGTATGTCCCCTGGGACCCACTGAATACCTGAGAGAGATCCTTTGAGTAGGAAGAGGTACCTGCTAAGCCACGCGCAATGAAAGGAAGAGAAAGTAAAAAAATGCTTCCCTTCCTGATATACACAGATCGCCTATTTAAATCAGTCAAAAAAAAAAAAAAAAAAAAAAGACAAAGAAATTCAGTGCTTCCGACAAAGATTTTTTTCCATTAGATCATTTTAAAAAGAGAATAGGCAAATGTGCATTATTTATGGAGAGAAATCATTTTGCTTGGATTTTATAAGGATCTGAGACCCCAGCGGGCTGGCTATGTGGTAAACAGAATTGGGTCCTCAAATGTCTTCTAATTTCAAATGAAATTTCTCTATGGGAAGAATAAGAGTGGAGACTCTGTGTTTTCTGCACCCTGTTCAACAGAACTTAGTACATGGCAATCAATGGGAGTTTGTTTGTACAAAATGCATTGACTGTGCAAAAAAGGCTTACTTGAAAACATTGCTGCTCAGGATGATGTCATCTATCACAGGGTTCTGTTCTGGGGCCTCATAGCCAAGGTCATTCAGAAAGCTGAGAGAAAATCTTAAGAAACCCTAAGCAGTAGGGTGTCTCTCAACGTGTGCTTACCATGACACAGTGTACCCTCAGGAGACTATGGAGAGAGAAGAGCGGTCTGACGTGTTCCCTCAGGGTGGGGCTTGAATATTGGGAGTATATGAGGGTTTAAGGAACTTGAGCTCAAAGTTAGAGGTTAGCTTCTTTTCAATGTTTTATTTAACAACCTAAATACTTTTATTCATGCTTTGGAATATTTAAGGCCCTGGGGCCTTGGGCTCAAACTTGCTGAGAAAATCCAGCAGCTGACTGGGGTCACAAAATGTTGAAGACATTCTGTGAATTTCCCTGAGGACATAGAAAGCAGGCAGGGGTGAGGAGACCCTATACATTCATCGCCTATTGCCTCACTCAAGCACACCACCCTGCAGCTACCAGAAAAAGCTGGTCTCTTCCTGACATTGTAGGAATCTTCTTTTGCTTTGAAATTTCTGTTCCTTCCCCAAATCCAGCTAGCAATTTATTTGTACGATACTTACCTTTGTAAAGATTTCACGCTAGAAACTTTAAATTCTCTGGGAAGATCAGTGCCGCCTATCAGTGAAGTTTCTTTTTGCAGTGGGGGTGGGGATAGTAGAGAGATTCACAAGTGGTCAAAGTTCAGAGAATGGGAGACTGTGGGGTGTTCAGCCCGAATGAACACCTCATTCAACTCCCTTGTCCAAGATTCAGGGAGCACCGAAGAAGATGTGGAAAGTTTGCAAGAGCCAGGGTTTGGGGATCACTGCTGTCAAATAGTGTCTTTAGAATACCCTAGGACCTTTGTACTCAGGAACTCAGAGCAGCTGTTGTTCCCTGCACAAAATCAAGCCAGTTCACATTCCTAGGAGTTGGGGAGGGTTCAGGGAGGCTCCCAGCAATAGCTGAAAAGCTGCTGGCACTTGATGGCTGCTGGGGGAGAGTAATTTTTCTTCAAGGGTGTGGCTTTTGCTAGATTGCTCATCCTCCAGCAGAGGCCCCACACCTGTAGGATATCAACAATATTTGTATTCCGTAACTATATACAAACAACTAGATGAAAACAAAACAAAACCAACCGACCAAACAAACAACAAGAAGCCGGGAGGAAGATGTGCTGGGAAAGTGTTTGGGAGGAGTTGAAGGGGCAGTAGGAGTAGATTTGATCAAAATATTTTGTGTACATGAATGAAAGCCTTAAGATAAGTTAAAATATCAAGCATACAACCCTAAAGCAACAGTTAAAAAAAATCCTATTAGGATTTACATGCATTCGTTGAAGTAGGACTACCACAATGAGATAAGTGTGGTTTGAGGCCATGGAGGTGGCTCTGAGGATAAGAGCTGTTGTCATGCAGGACTGACCTGAATTTGATTCCCGGAATCCACATAATGGGAAACCCACTTACAGGGAAGCCATGCAAAGAAGGAGAGAACCCTACCCCACAAAATTGTCTTCTGACCTCCATATTAAAGCTGTGGTATTCATGCACTGCCCCACCCCAGTGTTGTTGCTGTTTGTGTGTGTATGAGAGATAGAGAGACATAGAGAAAGAGAATAACTATGTATATATTTTTAAATGAGGTGTTTGAGACCACTTTCTTAGTTCATTATATTAAAGGAAGAGCAGAGGTCCCATGAAATTGTAGAGCAATTGAATTTCAATTGAGTACAGCCTGACTCTGAACATAGATCTGCAGTAAACCGAACTAATGTGAAGAGCGGGTAACTTTTCTAAAGAAGCTTACAGTGTGTTTAGGATCGAACTTCCTCACCATAAAGGAAAAGAAAAGAAAAAAAAACAAAAACAAAAACAAACAAACAAAAAAAACCCCAGCGTTTTCTTTTTCTTTTCTTTTTTTTAAACAGCTGCTTAACTTGCTGGCTAAGCAAATGTTTTTCTTTGTAGTTGGGAAAGGACCAGCACTTGGAGGGCCTCTCCCCTCAGCCCTTCCTCCCACCCTGGACTGTACCATTAAATCTTTGATAATGGGGTGATCAAAAGCAGAAAGTAAGTTAGTACTTGTCTAACCCCATTCCTCCGTGTGCACAGCCTCGCCCATTACTTTCTTCTCATTGCGGTGGTCTAAACCTGCTCAGGGCTTCGCTGCGCTAGCAAGGTCGCTGCAGGAGGAAGCATTGAACTTTGGACTGCACCTCAGAGGGCAAGTAAACAGCAGGGCTATAAATGTCAGTGTCAGCTTGCGGCTTTGGGGAACTGCCCTAGGAAAGCAGAGAGACAAGCAAGCTAGTCCAAAGGGGTTGCGTAAGTAACACTTGATTCTTCTAGAGTTTGGGAAATGTAGTCTGAGACTGATAAAATATTTCCTTCCCCCCTCCCCCCCCTTAGAGTAGGCTTAGTAATAAGATGGATAGAAGATCTTTGAAAGCAAAGATAAACAAATGAACAAGATTTTGGGTGTGGTAGGTGAAGTGTCTGAGAAGCACAGTTTTTTGATTTTTCTTTTTGTTGATTGCTGTCTTTTACCGCACTGTGCTCTGGGGAAGTGGGAGAAGGAAATGGAAATGCAGCTATTTCTCTCTTCAGAAGACTGTGGCATTATAGGGGCAACATTACCTGATTAAGTTTCAGTGTTTTCCACTAAAGGGTAGAGAGTGAGGACAAAGAAGAGGAGAAGCTACTGGATTTCAAGATCAGGGATGGAAGTAAGCCCACCCTACAGGGAAATTGTAAGCAGTTTCAGAATGAGGAGCAGGGAGGGAGCAGACTCCATCCACAGTGCAGAAGTGGTCACTTTTAGAGGGGAGCTACAGCAGTGCCACAGGTGGTCCATGAGAGGGAAGTTTTTGAGTTTAAGTAGAGAATGGAAGCCCGAAAGTGGCAGAGGGGCTAAAGGACTGGTCTGAAATTCAGAGGGAGAGGATGCGTCACAAAGAGTACGCACGTTTTCTTTTTAATGGGATACAGTCAAATGTAGTTCTGAATGTGAATAGCTAATCTAGGCTTGTAACTGAAAAGTGACAGAGACAGAAGGTTATAACTACTGTCCAGTTACTGTGTATTTTGTTATCTGCACTCATTCTTTTTATATAGCTCTTTGACAGTTACAATTAAAATGCAAAACTCGTTCTATAAAACGAACTTTAAGCGAGGTTGAATAGCTTATTGCTTATAATGACAGGGAAATCTGCAATTCTCCTTAGTCTCCCCTTTGCCACTAGATCATTCTTTTCATAGCAATGTAGGTGAGGGTAATAGTCTTCTCATTTATGTTTGCCGTTTAGACATTTGAAAATATCTATTTTATGGCAGAGTATTAAATGCTGTGCTGGCAATTCAATAACAACTTAATTTAGTTTTTTTTGAGATGTTTGTGTGTGCTACAGAGCCTGACATGAATTTAATTTAGGAAATAAATACAAGCTAGACTTCCTATTAAGAAAATGAACAGCCAGGCACGGTGGTGCATGCCTGGAATCCAGTACTTAAGGAGGCAGAGGCAAGTGGAGCTCTGTGAATCTGAGGCCAGCCTGGTCTACCTTTGCTACATAGAGAAACCCTGCCCCCCCCAAAAAAAAAATGAAAGAAAGAAAGGAAGAAAGAAAGAGAAAGAAAAACAGAGTAGCTTGTTTTGATGTTCTTTTTACTGTCCCAGAGCATATAGAGAACTGGCTGCTATTGTTATTGCAAGGTGATGTATTTAAAAATCACCAATGTACCCCAGTAGCTGAGAGATTATGTTTTGGATTGAGCAGAACCAATTTGAATCTACTTTTGTGGATTACTACTTGTGTGGTCATAGAGAAGGCACTTATAGTCTCTCTAAGCCATAGTTTTCTCAACTGTAGAAAGAGTAATAACTTAAATATTCTGAGGCACAACTGGCATATGTAAATGTGCTTAACACTTTATCTTGGATTTACAGTTCTAGCAAAACCCAGGAATTGACCTAGAAAAATAATCTCATTATTATTTTAAATATCATCCTGAAGAACCTTCCCAGATTAAACATCAGAATTAACAATGTGTTAGTATAAATATATAAATAGCCGAGATGGAGTTAAAAGTCACATTTTCTCTCTCTCTCTCTCTTTTTTTTTTGGACAGGGCCTCATAGTATAACCCTCTCTGACCTGGAACTTGTTATACATATACCTATCTGGCCTTGAACACACAGAAATCCACTTGGCTCTGCCTTCTGAGAGTTAGAATAAAGGTGTGGACACCACACCCAGTTCCCTCTCCTTCTTTCATTCTTCTGTGCTTGTTTGTTTCCTGATATGGGGTCTCACAAGTAGCTCTGGCTGTCCTGGAACTCACTGCTTAGACCACACTGGTCTCAAACTCACAGAGATCCACCTGCCTCTGCCTCCTGAATGCTGAGATTAAAAGCATGTGCCACCTCACTTGGTTCCAACCTCTTTCTTCAGTGAGGCCCTCATCTCAAATTTTTAGCATATAATTAAGAATAGCCTCTAACTCTCCATTCTTCTGCCTCAGCTCCCATATGCTGGTGTTACAGGTGTGTTGCCAATGCCAGCTAAACTTGTATTCAGAAGCATTAAATACTATAATGAACATTGTCACTCTGTATTCTAGACAGGTCTGGAACTCTTCCTGTAGTCATGCTATTCTTGAACTCAGAGGTAAGCTTCTGCCTCAGCTTTTTAGGTATCAGCTTTACAGGCATGAGCTACCTGACTTCTTGCATTCTTATGTCAAAATGACTCTGAGCTGTGGATTTTTTTCTTTTAAATGATTTTTTTTTACATTTTTTAAATTATGTTTCTAATTTTACCTTAAAAAAGATTCTGAGAGAGGTGGCCCTAGTTTGAGGGCTATTTCTGGTCAGACACTTAATATTTTAACTTTCCTGAGAGAGGGAGCATTTTTTTTCTTTTAATCTGAGACTATCCTATCTAGTCACAGGAGCTTCATGAAGGCAGTAGTAGCAACAGGAATGAGTCTTAGAAGGGGCAAGAGCGATGACTTGTAATATTGCTGCTTGGCTAGAATTTTTCTCTCTTGGTCATATTTATCAAGAGTATGGTGGCAATATCAAAGCAGGAAGTCTTATCTCTGAAGAGATTCAAATCCTATATCATTATATAACTAGCTATCTAGGACTAAAAAGCCCAAAATATTGAATGTCCCCAAGATGTTTATAAATGTGGAAGGCTTGAACTTGAAGCCATAGTTTACTTTCTGCCTTCTGCCTGGTACATTACAGAAAGATTTCATGCAAGAAGAGCTAAGGGCCATCACGAGCCACATTCATGTTGGTACCTCGTCTCTGGTGCTATGTCCTCACATCTCTTTCTGTGCTGTCTCTTTTCAGTTTTGTGCAGAGTTTACTAACATTTCCTAAGTTGACAGAGAACAGAACAAAGCAGTCAGAACTTTTATTGCAAATGAACGTCAAGATGTTGTAGAATGTTCTGTGACTATATACTACAGTTGGAAGGTGTTTCTCTGCATGTGTCTTCTAGAGAGGTGCCCAACTGTCTAATCAGGCACATTTCCATAAGGATGCTTGTTGCAGTATCATGTCGCAGATAGCTAGCTCATCATGTGATAATTCCTCTGTCTTTTAGCTGGCACTTTCCCCTTTACAGGAAGATTTAGTGGAGGAGGCTCATGACAATGGCATACTGAGCCTAGCAAAATGGAAATAGAATCCACAAGCTAAGTTTTAATAAGCAGGATTGAACCTACTATATTTAAAAAAAATTCATAGCAATGACTGTGAAGTTATCTCTGAAGACTACATTTTCTGTTTTATAGGACAACCTCAGCAATGTGGAGAAGCCTAGGGCTTGCCCTGGCTCTCTGTCTCCTCCCCTATGGAGGAACAGAGAGCCAAGGCCAAAGCCCTGTTTGTAAGCAACCTCCAGCCTGGACTATAGGAGATCAAAATCCAATGCTAAACTCCGAGGGCACAGTGACAGTGGTTGCTCTACTTCAAGCCAGCTGATACCTGTGTCTCCTGCAGGCATCCAGGTGAGTAGTCCTTGAAGGTTCAGGATATCTTTAGGGAAAGGCTACTAAATACAAACATGTACATATAAGATGCAATTAAAAAAAAATAATATGGGGATGGAAAGATAGCTCAGTGGTTAAGAGCACTCTGCTCTTCCAGAGGTCCTGAGTTTGATTCTCAGCAATCATGTAGTGGTTCACAACCATCTCTACTAGGATCTGATGCCCTCTTCTGGCATGCAGAGTTATATGTAAAATAAATAAATCTTAAAAAAAATAGACATAATATAATTGTTAAACAACACTTTTGGAGACCAGTATGTTTGTATAGCATACATCTGATGAAGAGACGAGGATGTATGTATAAATGATCACACACATTCACACACACACATGGAGATATACAATACTACCAAAATGTTTACTGTGGCATTCCTGGGCTTTGGAAATGTTTTCCTTTTTGTGTTCCTAAATTTTGTGACTTTCTTCTCCTATGGTTTACCCATGTAAAGTTTACTCCTATTAGTGGAGCAGGTACGTCAATATAAAAAGCAGAGGAAGACTGCCAGTACAGACACTAAACACTAAGATAGAAGGTCTTGCATCATTTAAAAACCACAAATAAAAAAAATGTTGGTTGTGTCATCCATCACATATTAATTGCATAACATTCTGCATATATGCAAGGTGAATTTAAATATATACTAACTTGGAATTCATGTTCATGCAAGCATTTACCATAAAGTTTCAAGTTTAAATAACTGTAAAAGTAAAGAGCTCAGTCTTATAAAACAAAGAACAAATTATAGTCAGTTAAAAGTAGTAAGAGCTCACAGAAAGTAAAAAAGAATGTAGACGGTAGAACAAATGAACAAAACTGAATGTCCTCATGCATTTCTCGTGTTCTCCCCTTAGATTGGAAGACCTGCGAATAAAACTCGAGAAGCAAGGCTATTATAACATTTCTTATGTTGTTGTTAATCATCAAGGACCCCCTTCTCAATTAAAGCACACACATCTTAAAAATCAGGTGTCTCACCACATTGCTGTTTACCGACAAGAGGAACACCAAACAGATGTCTGGACTCTCCTAAATGGAAACAAAGACGACTTCCTCATTTACGACAGGTGAGCCCTCTTCCCAGGCTCTTCCTAGTTATTTATTTATCTATCTATCTATTTATTTATTTATTTATTTCCATCCCATGCAGTAGTAGTCTTTGTCACTGCTGAATGTCACAGTTCGGTTTTCATCTCACGTGATTTCTCACTGCTGGAACCACTTTCAGTTTTCATCCCTAGGACAGACACTGCCCTGTTGTTTTTCTCCACAGATGTCGTCTTCCTCCCCCACCTCCTCCTCCTCATTCTTCCTGTATACGTGTTTATATTATTCAGGGTGATTTAGTTTCCTCCACACTGAACATTCTGCAGAAATGACCTCATCTATTCTTTGTTTTTGTTTTCCTGATTTGTATTTAGTAGTAAAAGATTTAAAGTAAGGCATTTGTCTTTGTTTTATCATCAGTTTTCAAGTTCAGTCTGTTGAGGAGTCTGGTGTTTATATTTTGAATGACTTTTTTGAGTTAAATATTAGTCCACCACTCCACTAGGTAGTCACAGAAAAGTGACCATACATTTCCCTCTGTGTAAAATAAGTGAAGAACACATTTGCATAACACATAATTCTAAATATCTTGAAGATTAAAACTACCCTTGTTTGTGATTGATTAATTTACAATTTTAAACTATATGCTTGCATTTCTTAACTAAGCATGATAAATGTTTTAAGCCTGATATGTATAGATTTATTTTGGAATCTATAACCAAATAAAACACTCATATTTGGAGAGAATTCCAATGCATATATTATCTTCTATACAACATTCTTAGTTGACACATGCATTCTTCTGGCCCTGCATGGGCTGAGTGCTCACTTTGTCTCACATTAAATATCATTTTAGGATTACATTTTATCATTTCAGGCTTCTAAAATTCTAATCTAGTCAGTTGTAAAGTACAACACTTTGGCACTAATATAAAGATGTATATTTTGGGTACAATGTCGGTAAATATAGACATTTCAACATTACCATTTTTGAGAATGTTAAGTTATAATTCTAGTTATTTTATTAAATATTTTATTATATCAAATATGTCTCTGAACAAATGAGCTAGCAATCATTATGCATGTAGGCACGCCATACCTACAGTGCTAGTGCTTGTCACATTCAATAGACAGGAGTGAAAGGAGTTTCAGGCTAGTTTGGACTCCACAGTGAGTTCAAGGCTAAGTTGACTTACATTATAAGAATCTATCTAAAAAAAAAAAAAATCAAGGGCTGGGGATGTGGCTCACTGACAGAGTGTTTACACAGGATATGTAAGGCCTGGATTTGATTCCTACACTACAAAAATAATAAATAAATGTGATACTTAGGTTGTTATGCTATGGTTTTTGGTTCTGTGGAATTAGTCTTCCCTAAGAAGTTATGAGAAGCTCCCATGGTTAGTCTTTGGCAGAATATATGCTAATTAAAATATAGTTGATATCTGGGCACAGGGGCTTATCTGAGACTGATTCTCCAACCAGAGACCATGCATGGATATAACCTAGAACCCCTGCTCGGATGTAGCCCATGGCAGCTCAGCATCCAAGTGGGTTTCCTATTAAGGGGAACAGGGACTGTCTCTGGCATGAACTCTGTAGCTAGCTCTTTGACCTTCTACAACCCCTCCACACACACACACACACACACACACACACACACACACACACCCGTGGGAGGAGCAGCGAGAGAGCGGCAGGGAGGAGATTAGGGAGGGAGAGTGGGATTGGGAGGTAATGAGGGAGAGGTCTACAGCTGAGAGACAAAGTAAATAAACTAATTAATATAAAAAATTCAGCTGAGACACAAAGTAAATAAACTGTAATTAATATAAAAAATAAAAATTTAATAAAAAATATAGTTGAGTCACAGTCATTACACATTTTTTATTATTATTTAATGTCATGTATAACATTTTAAAATACTAAGATTAGACTCAGTGTAATCTTCCTATAACCTGGCCTGGTATATAGCCTGGAAACTTAATTGTAGACCCCACTGGGGGAAATCTAAGCCTGAACAGGGTCACAGCACAGAGAATACAGTAGTAACACTGTATTTGCCTTTTAGATGTGGCCGCCTTGTGTATCACCTTGGTTTGCCTTATTCCTTCCTCACTTTCCCGTATGTTGAAGAAGCCATTAAGATCGCTTACTGTGAGGAGAAGTGCGGAAACTGCTCTTTCACGGTAGGTATTTTTCTCAATTGTTTTTACTGGAAGATAGGGAGAAAACTTTAAAAATCTATTTAAATAAGCGGTCCATTATCACTTAAAGAAATTTTTAAATAGACATTTTCTGTTATGTAACATATTTTAAAACATATTTTTAAGATTCATATTGCACCTTTATCTAAAAAGGCTCTAAAAACAAACCAGTCATGGCTGGAGAGTTTGCTCAGTGGTTATGAACACTTGCTGCTCTTGCGGAGGAGCTTTGTTCAGCCTTAGCACCCACATGGCAGGTTAGAGCCATTGTGATCCCAGGTCCAGGGGATCCAGTGCCCTCTTGCAGATACATTGTGAGTAGAACACATTTCTTTTTTAGGTAAGTGCAATCATTCAAATTACAGAATGGAAAAGAGGATAGCTCTTCAGCAAAGCTGGTTGTCCTGAATCTCTGACAATCTAAATAGTCATATAGTCTCAGTTCTCTGACAGGTAACATCATAGATGAGCTTTGCCACTGCCACTGTGCTCTGAGCATGCCCAGGGTACCGCAGTCATAATATAAATTCCTGGAGCACTTATCCTCATTCAGTAACATTCATTAGTAACTGACATAGTGATCTACATTGGTTTTAAATATTTGTTTTTAGTTTATGAGTGTCTTGCCTGCATGAATTAAGTGTACGGCCTTTTGTACCTGGTACTAATGCATGTTACTGCATGAGGATTAGTGCTCCAGTATCTCCTAGTAACCATGGAAATATTTTTCTTGTTAGGAGTACATTTAAATTTTTCTATAAAAACCTATTTTAATTTTTAGTGACTAATTTTTTCTCTCATACTTAAGAGAAAAGAATATTAAATAATGTTTTCTTGATAGGGCAGATTGTCAAAATTCAGGTATAAAAAAACATTCTGAAATTATTGAGTGGTTATGTTTTCTGATTCTTTCCCAAGATATTAAAGAAACTTCCTCATATCTCAACGAATCATTTAATCAATTAATTTTGATGGCAGGTTACCTTAATTATACCACTTTTACATTTTAATATTTTTAAAATTCCGAGAGTTATTTTCAGATCTTAAAATTGAGACTGGCTGGCAAATAGAGCCTTTAAAGCTGACCTGACACAAAATAATCCCTTCAAGATTTAATTTTTCATATTTTGGGATTAGTTTTGGTCTTGCATTTGTGTAAATGCCTGCTATAAATACAGCCAGCTGTACTGAAATAAAAAGACAAAAACGTTTATCATCATAAGCTTAAAACTTATGAGCTCTTAGTTAAAGAGAATAACATTCTATAGGATCTTACCTCTAGGTCAAGTCAGCACTTATCTGTTTTGCTTTCTCCCAGATACCAGTTATATGATACATTATTTGTTTTATTAAGAAAGAGAGAGAGAGAGAGAGAGAGAGAGAGAGAGAGAGAATGAGAGAGAGTGAGAAAACTGCTGTCAATTAAAGTAGTTTGGCTTCTTTCAACCTTTAATAAAAACTGAGAAGGGCAGGAGGACAGGAGAGAGGGCTTGCAGATAGAAGAGAAACCCTGGCCTGGGGTATCTCTGTGACAAGCTGGAGACCTAAGACAGGGTAGGCTACTGAGAGGATATGAGGGTGACTCAAATGGAGACCCCTATTAGCAGGGATCATGGAGACTGAAGAGGACACCATCTAACCGGACAGGGCTCCTAATAGAGGGAGGGGAACACCAACCCATCCACAAAAACTTTGACTCCAAATTTACCCTGCCTACAAGATGTGCAGAGATAAAGATAGAGCAGAATTTGAAGGAATGTCCAATGCCTGGCCAACTCCTGTCACTATTACACTCTGCTATGCTTGCAGATGGGAGCCTAGCATAAAAAAATCGTAGACATTGAGACTAAGATTGGGCTCATTTTCATGCATATGCTAGCTAATGGTATCCTAATTAACTTGGTGGAATAACATATATGTTGGCTTTACAAGTAATTTCTTCATGCATTTATGGTTACTCTATAATCTTGTTAATAATTAGATTATAAATTTGTTCCAGAGTTTTGAAGAGGAAGACTTCTGTAAGAATGTGTCCTCTGTTCCTGCCGGTAAAACAGCAGAGCCCTCAGAAGCACATCACCACCACAAACATGAGCATAAGCATCATGGGAGCAGTGAGCCTTCAGATAATCAGCAACCAGGAGCACTAGAAGCTGAGCCACAGCTCCCCCCTTCAGGCTTTCATCACCACCATAAGCACAAGGGTCAGCATAGGCAGGGTCACCTAGAGAGCTGAGACCCAGGGGCAAGTGAAGGTCTACAACTTTCACTTGCTCAAAGGAAGCTCTGACGAAGGGGATGTATCAACCAGCTCCTGTGTAAGTTATCTCAGGAGTCTGGGGCAGCTGCTAGTAGCTGCTGCTGCCACTGCCGCCACCTCATATTTGAGAAATCAGGCTCTGCAATCACTTGACAGTGTGCCGAAAACCTCCCATCTCTATGTAGCTGACAGGGACTTTTTGCGGAGGAGAAAGTCATTGAATCCTGCCAGTGTCGATCACCTCCAGCTGCCTGACAGAGTCAGCCTCTAAACCCCACAAAAGCCAGCCCCAACTGAAGCTGAAATAATAACACCAAAAAGTGAAAATGAAAATCAAACTAAATGTTTAAAATTAGATGTACACTCCCCAAGTCAGTCTAAATATAGAATTTAATTTCTAGAATTTTTGCAACCCACCTAATCAAAGGGTGAACTCAAAGTAGGAATTGGCTTTGTGCAAAAACAGGGAAATCATATTGGCATCTAAATTTAAAATTTTATGCCACAGAAAATTTGACCCAAATTGGGCTGGTAATATAGGCAACTGAAAAGTGATTGAGGCTTTTGGTTAATATGTTTTTCTTTTTCTTTTTCCGGTGTTCTAGTTACATTGATGAGAACAGAAACATAAACTATGACCTAGGGGTTTCTGTTGGATAGCTCGTAATTTAGAATGGAGAAAGAACAACAAAAACACATTTTCCAGTTTTTTTTCTTTACTTAAACTCTCAAAACTTTGTCTTTTTAATACTACATTTTTAACCAGTTAAATCTTTAACAAACTACATTTTAAATATCTTTTTTTCTAAGACTCCTAGCTTTATTTTCACTACATACATCTGTGTATCTTGTTTTCTTCATCTAGTATTGTTGTATTCATCTGCGTATTACTGTCTTGAAAGAAGTAATGGAAGAAAGTATATTGTTAATCTGCATACTGCTTACGACAGTATTTCCATAACCAATGATGGTTTAATAGAGAAACTAAGCCCTATGAACCTGAACTCTGGTATGGCTAATACCATGAAGCAAGAATGCAGTACAGAGTTGGCTACAGTACAGGTTTATCTAAATAAATGCAATTAAAAAAAGCTTAAAAGTACGTGTCTTTATTGTTATCACACTCACATTGAAAACACAAGTGAATTTTTAAAGCCTTTAAGGAAATTAAGTTGTAGCAAATAAATTAAGTGCTCTGCTTAGAATCGTCTCCGTGTGAAGCGGGAGTCTTTGACAGCTGCAAGGCGCTGTTCCAGGTCTCGGATAGTATTCTGGAGACTCGCAATCTCCTTGCTCTTTTCCTCTTGAAGATGCTGAAGTTTCTAAATGAAGCAGAAAAAAAAAAAAACTGTCATATCAACTTAGAAGTAAGAGTAAGCATAAGGCATTGCAAAACAACAATCAATATACTTGTATTTTAAAAAAACTTAAAAATTTAACTATATTATTATTTTTTAATTTTTATTTTTATTAATTACAGTTATTCACTTTGTATCCCCCTCTGTTGCTCCCTCTCTCCTCCCCTCCCAATCTCACCCTCCATCCCCCTTCTCTACCCATGCCCCTCCCCCAGTCCACTGATAGGGGAGGTCTTCCTCTCCTTTCTGATCCTAGTCTATCAGGTCTCATCAGGAGTGGCTGCATTTTCTTCCTCTGTGGCCTGGTAAGGGTGCTCAATTAGGAATAGTGCTACCTTAAGATCCAGCTATACCACTCCTAGGCATATATCCAAAAGATGCTCAAGTATACAACAAGGATATTTGCTCAATCATGTTTGCTGCAGCTTTTTTTGTAATAGCCAGAAGCTGGAAACAACCCAGATGCCCCTCAGCTGAGGAATAGATACAGAAATTGTGGTACATCTACACAATGGAATATTACTCAGCAATAAAAAACAAGGAAATGATGAAATTTGCAGGCAAATGGTAGGAACTGGAAAAGATCATCCTGAGTGAGGTAGCCCAGAAGCAGAAAGACACACAGGGTATATACTCACTCGTAAGTGGAGATTAGACATAAACATACTGAATAAGTAAACATACTGAAATCTGTACACCCTCCCCCCAAAAAAACTAATCAAGAAAGACTCTGGCTAAGATGCTCAATCCCCATTCAGAAAGGCAAAGAGGATGAACATCAGAAGGGGAAGAAAATAGGGAACAGGACAGGAGCCTACCACAGAGGGCCTCTTAAAGTCTCTACCCTGCAGGGTATCAAAGCAGAGACTGGGACTTAACTTTAGTTTTTATAATTTATTTACTTCATATTTGATTGTAGTCCTCTCCCTCATCTCTTCCTGGTCCCACCCTCCCTCCTTCTTCTCTCCTATTCCCCAGAAAGGGGGAGCCCTCCTCCCTACCATCTGACCCCAGCCTATGAAGTCTCATCAGGACTGCCTGCATCTTCTTTCTCTGTGGCCTGGCAAAGACACCCCTCCTGTCCTCATCTCACCAGAGGGAAGTGATCAAAGAGCAGGCAACAGAGTCTATGTCAGAGACAGCCCCTGATCCCCTTACTAGGGGAACCATATAGAGACTGAGCTGCCTAGTGGCTATATAGGGAGTCTAGGTCCTCTCTATGCATAGTCCTTGGTTCATCAGTCTCTGCAGGACTCGCTGGGCCCAGATTTTTTGTCTCTGTTGGTCTCCTTGTTGAGCTCCTGTCTTACTTTGGGCCCTTCTATTCCCTGACTCTTCCATAAGACTACCTGTGCTCTGGCTAAAGTTTGGCTGTGAGTCTCAGCATCTGCTTTAATCCTCTATGGGTGGTGTCCTTCAGAGGACATTTGTGGTTGGCTCCCATCCTGTTCCCTCTCTTCAACGGTTTCAGGTGTCTATTCTATTTGCCCTTCTAAGTGAGAATTAAATATTCTTCCTAGTGTCCTTGTTATTTACCTTTTTTAGGTCTGTGGATTGTAGTATGGTTATCATGTATTATACGACTAACACCCATTTTTAAGTGAGTATCTACCATGTTTGTCTTTCTGATTCTGAGTTACTTCACTTAGAATGATCTTTTCTAGTTTCACCCATTTGCCTGCAAATTTCAACTGTCTTACTTTGAAAGGTCTATAGCTTCATTTTTGTGATTTATTTTTTATGATTTATATCCTGATTGAAGCCCCCTTCCTCAACTCCTCCCAGTCTCACCCTCCCTCCCTCTTCCCCCTATCACCTTCCGCTAGTCCACTGAAAGGGGGAGTTCTCCTCCTCTGCCATCTGCCCATAGCTTATCAAGTCTTATCAGGACTGCCTAGATACTCTTCCTCTGTGGCCTGCCAAGGCTGCATCTTCAAGAGCAAGTGATCAAAGAGCAGGCAATAGAGTTTATGACAAGAGGCAGTCCCTGCTTCTTTCATTCAGAGCCCCACATAAGCTGCCAATCTGCTACATCTGAACAGGGTCTCTAGGTCTTCTCCATGTATAGCCCTTCGTTGGTGCATCAGTCTCTGCACCTGGGTTCAGGTTTCTTAGTTTTGTTTGTCTCCTTGTGGAGTTCCTGTCCCCTCCATGTCCTTCTATCCCCCTTTCTTCCATGAGACTCCCTGCGCTCTGCCCAAAGTTTGGAAGAAAAACTGGTATAAGGCTACAGAAAAAAATTTAATATACTTAAAATAAGCATTAAGTAATTTTTATAGGAACACACTAAGACAATCTGCTGAAGTTATAGTCATGGGACAAAATGCACATACCCTTCTGTAGATACTTTGTGGCAAAATAGTAGCATCTGGATATGATTTTGATTTAGTCTGAGCTCTTGCTAGTTTGGTGTCAAACTGAACCAAATTCAAAAAGAGAAAGTTATTAGGAATGTTATGGTTTACTACAGAGAAACATTTTTTGTTGTTGTTGTTGTTTGTTTTACAGAAAAGTATACCAATAAAATCCTTTGCTACATAATTTGTAATTGAACACACTCTGTATACAATAGTCTTTATGAAACAATACTAAAAAAGAACAGAGAACATCCAAGGAAGAGTCAGGTAAAGGTAGGTTAAGATTGCTTTGGGAGCTTTAAAAAAGGGCCAAGTGCCTTGGTACTGCCTTTACAGACAGCACCGTACTTCTGCTCAAAACACCAAAGCTCTTCCCACCCCTCCCATGTGAGGCATATGCTTGACCACTGAGCTAGGAGATATTTTTACAACTGATATATGTTCATCAAGAAAATAACAGTGTGATCCACAGTCTTAGGAGAAAAGCTCATTTATCTTTCAAACTTTTAAGCCAAATATTAGAATATGGAAGTGATTTGATTAGTCAATTCTGGCTTTTTTTTTCTTTGAATTAAATTGAATCAAATTAAAAGTGCCTACAGCCTATTCTTATAAGACCTTTTTTTTTTTTTTGCACAATATTCCACTATAGTTTTTCCTTTTAGATTTACCTTAGTATCGCCTTTCAGAAAACTAAAATAGGCTTTCTATGAGACTGTGTTCTCGTTTGAGGAGAGCACTGGATTGTTATAATGAAGATAGATAAAGACATCCAAGTACTAGTCAAACAGCATCATCAGACTAGCAACATGGTCCATGGCAAATAAACTGCAAATTCCTAACTGACAGATTATAAATTGGCAGTACATCTTGAAATATGGCTTGTTGTAGTTCAGTTAGCCATCCAGCCCTCTGTGGTCATACTTGGCTAGGAGGCAGATATGGCACCACCACTAGCAGTATGCAGTACAGCGCCAGCAATGGCAACAGCAAAATCCCCCCTTACACATAGACCACCATCAAGAACTCTGGGCTTAGCAAAGTTGTTGCTGGAAAATAAAGAGTACATTATTTTCATTAACATCTGTGAATGTTTTGCATAATGCGAGGTGGAAGTAGAGATGGGTGGAAGCCATGGCATAATAATGAAAAATGAGGTTGATAGAATTAAAAAAAAATGCAAGACAAGTATTTTGTTGACACATCAGTATCCTTGAGGTTTTCACATACAGCTGAACAGCTCATTAAACAGAATAAAAAACTAGAAAATTATGAAGATACACTTATTTAAAATATATTGGTAAATGTTTCAAAGAAATCTTGCCTCTAGAATATATATTTTCATAAAAATGTGATAGTTAAGTTTGTCTGTTTTTATCCCAAATCAAACAAAAGGGTCCCAAGAAAGAAATAGAGGAGTCCTTATACTTTTCCCAGGTTGAAATGGTGGCCTTTTGCCACCTGTGTATACTAGATGGTAAAATCAGGTAACTCTTGAGTTGTCCTCATTCTCAGAGGAAGCAATATCCTACCTGGAAGCTAGGGTCTTCTTCAGCTCAAGTGCTGAAAAGTATATGGCCAGAAGCCTGTAGAGTGGGCTATTCTTTTGCTGAAGAATGAGAATGTGTGGAGTCTCTCAGAGGGTTCTATCTAGTCCTGAAATTTATGTCATTGCAATAAGAAATAAGCAAAGCATGGTTTAGACTAAGGAATGTGCTTCCATTTAGCAGACTTGTAAACACCTACTTCTAGATGTAGTCTCAGTATTTCATTTTGCTTTTCCTTCTCTTGAGTTCTCAATTTTGTATTTAATTCTGATATTTCCATCTCCTTCTTTGCCATTAGTTCTTTGTGCTTTTCTTCATTTAATTCAACTAAGTAAAACAGAAATAAATGTTAACAGTTCAAAGTTAAGTGCTTTCATTTCTTTCTTTTTTTTCCTTACTTATTCAATGTGTTTATTGATCACCTGTGTACGAGGCATTATATTAAATATTCTGTGCAAAATATATGTGTTTTCACTGAGTATACCTTAGGCTAGGAGGCAGACATTAATTACAACTGTGATTGAAATAGTACAGGAGAAACATGGCAAAGTGCTGACAACTCAGGAGGAAATTATATTAGTTGCTTTTTCCATTGTTACAAAATGCCCAACTAAAATAAAGTTTTATTTTGGTTCATGGTATGAGTGGATTTAAGACACTATACGGAGAAGACATGGCCATGGCTGGCTCTGTGATGGTGGGATCCTGCAATGGCTGCTTGATCTCAGGGGACCAGTTAGAAGACAGTTAATATGAAGTGGGGCTGGACTATATGAGCCAAGGTTTACCGCCCTGGTGACATCCTCCAGGCAGGCTTAACTTCTGAAAGTTTCCACAGTCTGCTAAAACAGCACCAACTGGACACCATGAGTTGAACACATTAGCCTTTGGCAGATATTTCATACCCAAAAAGTGAGAGAATTGTTAACCAAATTTGGCGGATGAGCCTAAGATGGAAGGGACTTTTCTCAGGATGTTATCTTTAAAGCAGGGCTTCACATAATATAGCTGGTACATCAAAGGAGAGTTACTGAGAGAAACGCTGGCCCATTTTATGAGAAAGGAATAATAATAAGGCCCATGATGATCCCACTACCCAGTGATCATCTTAAACTGTAGTTTTAAAGGGAAGCCTGACTTCATACATAGCCTATTTTTGTATGCATGTAGTACCTTAGATGGTGCAAAACACATTCATATGAGGTGTGGTGGTTTGAATAAGAATGGCCCCATAGGCTTACACATTTGAATGCATAGTCACCAGGGAGTAGCACATGAAAGAATTAGGAGATGTGGCCTTCTTAGAGGAAGTGTGTCACTTCAAGGTTTCAAAAGCCTATGTCAAGCCTAGTGTCCTCTCTGCAGAAGGATCAGGATATAGCTCCCAGCTACTGCTATAGCACCTGCCTACCTGCCGCCATGCACCTGCCATGATGATAATGAACTGAATCTCTGAAACTAAAATGTACTTACATTTTTTAAGTAAATGATTTTTAAGAAAGTGAATTATACTTTTTGTAGAAATTGTGTGTGTAAGGTAGTTTTCTAATGTACTTTGGACAAGGCATTGAATAATGTCTGAAATGCAAGTGTTTCAAATGCTTCTGAATAAATATTTGTGCTCTTAAGCATCAATGGCTTACAAAATAAGATACACAAAGTTTGGATTGCTAGTTTAGAAAGTCTGAACGATTACACCTGACTATAGATCTGCAGGTCCTTGCTGTGCTTTCCTGAATGATCAGGCCTTTTTTCCTGATTAACATCACATTTCTGTGCTTCACCATATTTCTTAGCTCTCTTATTCTTGCTAATGACACATGCTATCAAGGATGGAAATTTTAATAACAACGAGTCATTTCACAAAATGCACAAGCAAGGGACTTCTACTACAACTAATCCATGACTTAGTTTCAGACCTTGTTTTTTCCCCATCATTTAGACTGTGTATCTAGTCTCTCTATTGTCACTGGTACATCAAGAACCCCTAACCCACTATTGCCATGTCAATCGCCCTAAATATAATTACAGTTATGGCTGTCACCTTCTCAGAGAGAAGGTGCACACGCAGGGAGAGAGAAATGCAGAGAGAAAGAGAGAGAGAGAAAGAGGAGGGGGGTGCAAAATGTCTGGGTTTTATAGGGAAGAGCCTTCAGGGGAAGAGAAGCCCAGGCCCTGGGCTGGGAAGTTTAGGGTAGCCATAACCTGTAACAGGTAGGTAGGATCTGAGGGATGCTGGGAGAACCTGGACGATAGGTCCAATTTGATATGTTAAATAGGCACTTCAGCCATTTGTCCTGGTCTGAAATCCAACAGTAGAAAGTAGGCAACCACTCCCTAACATGTCTAATACCTTCCTCTGTCTTGAGGCCTATAGTGGTTTGAATTATACATATTCCCCCCAAAACCTGAGAGCTTGTTATTGGTACACTCTTCCCCTGGTTCTGTCTGAGGAGGTAGTATAGCTTTGCTGGAGGAAGTACATCAATGGCAGTAAACTTCCAGTTCATTCTGCCTGCTCTGTGTTTGCAGTTAAGACATGATCTCTCACCTACTTTCATGCCTCCCCTGCTGTTATGGACTTTCCCTCTGAAGCCATAAGCTAGTTAAATTCTCACAATCATTCATTCATTCATCCATCCATTCATTCATAAAACACTATTTTTTAATCTATCTCTCTATCTGTCTATCATCTATGTATCTATGTATTTTTATGGATGTTTGGTGTTTGTGTGAGGGAGTTGGATCCACTAGAATTTGAGTTACAGATCAGACAATGGTGAGCCGCCATGTATGTGCTGGGAATTGAACCAGGGTCCTCTGAAAGAGCAGCCAATGCTCTTTAACCACTGTGCCATCTCTCCAGCCCCAAATTCTCCCTTTTATAAGTGGCTTTGGTTGTAGAATTTTATCTTAGAAGAAGAAAAGGTACTAAATACAGAAGCTAATACCAGAGAATAATCAGGTGTCGCTGTGAAGACCCTAACCATGCTGATCTTTTGAGACATGTTGGAAGACTTTGGAACTTAGAAGTAGAAAAGGAACTGAATGCTGTAAGTACAGCTCAATGGTCTGTCCCAGTGGAAACCTGGAAGACAGGAAGTGCTGAGAGTAGTGTGGACTGCAGAAGCCCAGTTCAAGAGTTGCAGAAGGAAATAAGGACTTTATCAGTAGGTGAGCTCAGCCATTCATGTGGTATTTTGGCAAAGAATGTGACTGTTTTCTACCTGTGCCCTAAGAATTTGCATGAGGCTAAATTAAAAAGTAATGAACTAATTATTTTATTTTATTTTTGGTGGTATAGGAAATTTCAAGACTACACAATGTTGGGTATGTGACATGGTTGCTACTAATTTCTCTTATGCAAGTCTGTTATGAAAAAAGCAAGTGAGGCAAAAATAACAGTAGTAACAGTTTGGAGAGAAAAACAGCACTTAAACATTTAATGTTCAGCCAAAGCACGTGCTGAAAGTGCCTGTAATTGTTAAGATGATTAACATGGTTAAGAAAAGGCCTCTTTGATACACTGCTGGGTAGAGTCTTTCAGAGGCCCTCTGTGGTAGGCTCCTGTCCTGTTTCTTGTTTTCTCCTTCTTTCAATGTCTATCCCATTTGTCTTTCTAAGTGAGGATTGATCATCTTACCTAGGGTCCTCCTTTTTGTTTAGCTTCTTTGGTGTACAGATTTTAGTATGTTTATCCTATCTTATAGGTCTAGTATCCACTTATAAGTGAGTATATACCATGTGTGTCTTTCTTCTTCTGGGGTAACTCACTCAGGATGAACCTTTCTAGATCCTACCACTTGCCTGAAAATTTCATCAAATCAGACACTGAGACTCATAACCAAACTTTGGGCAGAGTGTAGGGAAACATATGAAAGAAGGGAGTTAGTAAGACCAGAAGAGGACAGGAGATCCACAAGGAGAGCAACAGAACAAAAATATCTGAGCACAGGGCTCTTTTCTGAAACTGATACTCCAATCTAGATCCATTCATGGATATAACCTGGAACCCCTGCTCGGATGTAGCCCATGGCAGCTCAGTATCAAAGTGAGGTCCTTAGTACTGGGAACAGGGACTGTCTCTGACATGAACTCTGTGGCTGGCTCTTTGATCACACGCCCGCCCTCCCCCCCCCAAGGGAGGAGCAGCCTTGCTAGGCCACAGAAGAGGACATTGCAGCCAGTCCTGATGAGACCTGATAAGCTAGGGTCAGATGGAAGGGGAGAGGACCTATCTATTAGTGGACTTAGAGAGGGGCAGTGAGGAGATGAGGGAGGGAGCGGTGAGATTGGAAGGGAATAAAGGAGGGGGCTACAGCTGGGATACAAAGCAAATACAATGTAACTAATGTGAAAAAATGAAAATTTAATAATAAAAAAAGAAAATGCCTCTCGCTCTGCACTGGAACAAAGGGAAGGTGTTCCCAGGGTAAGACCCCGGCCAGCTAAGCTTTCAATTTGTAAAAAACAAAAAAGGTTTAAGCGTTTTCTACCCTTAAAGAGAAACTGAATTAAAAATAAACAACAAAACAAAACAAACTGCTGGGGTAGGAGAGATGATTCACCAATAAGAGTATTTTATGTTCTGGCATAGGACCTGGCTTCAGTTCTTAGAACCCACCTAACAGCTAACAACCATCTATATTTCCAGTTCCAGAGGCTCTGACATCCTCCTGTGCAGGGAATGCTTGTATTCCTGTACATGTATTCATGCAAAATATCCATGCACATTACAAAAAAAAAAAAAACCTTAAAAAAAAGATGCTGCAAATGTGATTCACGGGGTGAGAGTACACCCTAAGCTGGCGGCTGAACCGGGTAGTGCCATCCACATGGTCCTAGCTTTGGAGACATGAATCCAAGTGTGGACATTGTGGAAATATGCACTAGATTAGAACCATATATCAATAAAACCCATTTCTGTAGTTCAGAATATGTAGATTTTATCTCCATTTAATTTATAGCATTAAATTATTATTATACTTAGCTTAAGGATTAAAATAGTATTCAAAGAAATCACTGAATATTAATCTTTACAAAACTGAACTTTTTGGTCCAGGCCATAAAAAAATATTTATGAATCAGTACCTTAGGCACTAATCCTTTTTTGACTTGAGAAAAAGAATAATTATAAAATTAAACAGAAAAAAAAAAGCTTTTGTACCACTCACCTACTTGAAATTTTCTCTTTTTTTAGAGTACTCCATAAACAAAACACAGTATTTTCAGTCTGGATTTATTTACATATTTGTTTTATTTTGCCTTTTTGAGACAAGGACCAGAAATACAGTGTGCGGCAGTCCTTCTATTTCTGCTTCCTGAGTGCCAGTATACAGGCATGTGCCACCACGTCAGGTTTTATTCGTTTTGAAGTGATCACACTGCTGAGTGCATCAGTTGCCTATTCTTTTTTACTGCTGTCAATGGATGTACAGGGAGTTTTAAAAAACTAGTACTAGTTAACAAATTTGTATGATTACAGCTCTGGGCTATCATGAATAAAGTTGCCGTAAACATTCAAATTCAGGCTTTGTGTGGTTTCATTTCTCTCTGGTAAACCCCCAAGAGTGGTACTTCTGGATCACACTGACAATATTATGTAGTGGTCATGTGGATGAACCTCTGAGATCACAGGAAAACAAATTAAAAAGACTTTTAGTAGATGTAAAGTCATGTCTAGTTATAGTTTTACTTTGAAATTTTGTATTAGGTTAGACATCTTCTCACATGCTTATTTTATCCCTGTATATCTTTGCAGTTTGGTCAATATGCTGACCGTTTCCTTGTCGTCAACAAATGCAGAAGGCTTGCAATTAGTTATGTGCCTCCTGCCTCAGCCTCAAGTGCTGAGACTGCAGGTGTACAGGCCTGACTTCAATTAATTTTTATATATGATGTTCATAAAGAGAGGGTCACTAAGAATAGTTTGAAAAAGAAAGCAACCTGCTACATATGTGCAATGATACCTGTTTAACTGAAGAAAATTGGTGAGGTTATATTCCATATGCTAATACATATAATATCATTACAACTTATTTAAAACTTTTATAGTAATTATATAAAGATACTTTTCACATTAGGCAAAATTGAGCACAAACAAATAAAATTTAGAACTATTATATTTATGTTACATATATAAAAATTAAATTTATCAAGGCAATGTTCATTCAAAAATACTACTACTGGAAAAATAATATGCACCTTTAAGTTGTTTCACACTGTGTCAGAATTCAATAAGCTAAAACTTTAAAATTACCTTGTTTCTGCATATCCTGATAAAGTTTGCTCATTTTGATTTTATGTTCTTCCTCTTTGATTTTCATTTCACTTCTAAGTTTGGCAATATTATTCTTATATTCCTAGAAATTAAAATATATCTTCTTTCAAATGTAATAGTTACAGTTTTTGATAATTAAAAGGTGTCTATATTACTTTTGACATGCAACTATATCCAATGTTTTTTACTTACCTTCAAATAATTGTAGTAGGCATACACAAAATAATGTTTCATTATTCATACACATATATAGTATATTATATATGCATATAATATATAATATATAATATATAATATATAATATATAATATATAATATATAATATATAATACATGATATATATTATACATATCATTGTACCTTGCTCATATATGTGCCCATTTTCTGGCCCCCTGTTCAATTGGTCCTTTTTCTCTTTCAAAATAGTCCCTCTTCTGCTAACGAGACATCTAGAGTGTGCATCAGAGAATGTGTCGTACTTTGTTTCTCGTCCTCATGTGGTGTGAATGGAGACTGTCCTCTACAGGCTTATGTGTTTCTCATCCTCATGTGGTCTGGATGTAGACTATCCTCTACAGGCTCATGTGTCTGGATACCTGGTCACCAGATGGTGCTGCTGCTTGCAGAGGTTGTAGAAACTTTGGGGGTAAACTCTTGAGATTTGATAGCCTGCCTCCACTTTCTGCTCAAAATCTGCTTCTGACTTTGGCTGCAGTTTGGCCAGCTGCCCCCTGCTTCTGAGGCTGTTCCTTCTCTGCTGTGATCAGATGTATCCCCTTAAAGTGTAAGCCTGAAGAAAACTTCCCTCCCTTGAACTGTTTCTTGTAGGGTATTAGCTGTGGCAACAAGAAAAGTAATGACTGCGCTGCTCATTACCCTTTCTTGTTTCTCCTCCCCACTTCCTTTAGACTCCCTTTTCCTCCGCATTATACTCCTTCTACTTTCATGTCTCACACACACACACTCACACTGTGTGTATATTCCCCTTTGTCCCTTGGCCTCCTCTCGCCTTTGTTCCCCGAAACATTATTGCTTTTATCTTCATGTCAAATATATCTGTATGATTATGATTTTATGTATTTATATAAAACCTAGGAACTACAAATGAAAGAAAACGTAATGATATTTGTCTTTATATGATTTGTTTAATATGATTATCTGCAGTTGTACGTATTTTTCCTGCATACTAACTTTGTTTTCCTTTGTGGCTGAAAAAATATCCCATTGTATATTTACACATTTTCTTTCTTCTTTTTTTTTTCTTCTTTCCTTTCTGTGTAGCCATGATAGTCCTGGGTCCTGGAACTTGCTCTGTCACAGGCTGGCCTCAAACCCAGAGATCCTCCTGCCTCTGCCTCACAAGCACTAGGATTAAAGGCATGTGCCACCATGCCTGGCTGAGTATTCTAGATATTAATCCTATGTTTGATGTATCACTAGCAAAGATTTTCTTTCATTCTATAGGCTATTTTTTTGTTCTACAAAATATTTTTAACTTCATGAGGTCTGGTTTATCTACTGTTGGCATTATTTGCCATGCAATCAGAGAAACCATTGCAAAGATCCTTACCGACATCTCTATCTTGAAGTGTTTTCTGCTGGCATTTAAAAAATATCTATTTATTGGATTCCTTATTCCTCTACCTCCCTTACAGCCCTCATTCTACCCTAATCCTTTCCAATCCCCCCCCCCAACACTAGGAGGAGAGAAAGATGGGAAAGGGGACCTCTAAAGACCTGTTTTGGCTATTTCCTGCTGACTCGGAATATGAAGTTCCTTGAGGCAAGTTCAATCTTTGTCATCAGACTCTTCAGCAGTCCATCAAATCAATAATCCAGCAATAGAAAATTCAGTAATAGGACAAAACAGTGCAGAGGAGGGAGCAGCAGCCAACACAGGCCCTCTCTGGGCTCTCCCATTTATTTCCTCTTCAGAGTCCCCAGAATTAAACTATCTGCAGCTGGTAAAGATCATGCTTCTGCTAGTGCATGAGGCAAACCATAATCACCTGCTGCGAGGCAGTTTCTTATCCCACAACTGGGATTAAAACAAAAACATATTCACATAATATAACTGGGTTTTTAAAGAAACCTAACCTCTTACCAGTTTTCCAAAGTTTTTCCTCTCACAGTTTTATGATTTCACACTTTATACTAAACCTTTTGTCCATTTGAAGTTGATTCTTGGGCAGGTTGACAAAAGCTCTTAGTTCCATTCTTCTGTGGGTGGATATCCAGTTTTTTAAGCACCATGTGTTAACAAAGTTGTCTTTTCTCCAGCACCTATTTTTGGCGTCTTTGTAAATAATCAGGTGGCTGTAGTTTTGTGGTTGTGTATCTGAATCTATATTTGGCTTCTCTATTCTAGTCCAATGAGCCACATGTTTGTTTTTATGCTAGTATCACGCTGGTGTTTATTACTAAGGCTCTGCAGTGTAGCTTGAAATTATAGCTTAGGTTTTGTGCAAAACCACGTGTGTATATGTGTGCATTTGTTTGTGAGTATTTTTTTTTGATAAGAGGTTTATAGCTATTACTATATATTCAGTGGTATTGAGGAAGTAAAGCAAAACAAAAAACTGAGAAGAGTCAAGTTGTATGTTTATAATTAAATACAATTGCGCAGGGTGATGGTTAGTATTAACTGTCAGCCTGACAACCTAGACTTACTTGGGAGATAGGACTCTGGGCATGCCTGTTGAGGATTATATTGATTATGTTAATTGATATGGGAAGACTCACTTTAATTGTGTATGTGTAAAACTATTCCCTGGCTAAGGATCCTGGTCTAGAGAGTGGAGAAACCATGCAAGCACTTTCATCTCTCTAAGCTTCTTGGCTGTGATATGGTGTGATATGAACAGCTGCTTGACGCTCCTGCCCCTCCACTTCTCCAGCATGATGTAGTTTTGATCTGCGAGCTGGAATAAACCCTTTCTTCATTTAGTTCTTTTTGTTAGTGTCTTTTAGCAACAGGAAAAAGAACCAGAAGAACCAGTTTAAAGGGACATAGTCTGGCCTATCATTTGTGCTATTTATCCAGCCAGGCAAGTTACAGGATTGACCGAACCTGTAATACTTCTAGATTTGGTTAAATCTGGGCCGAGTCAATGCAAGGAGAACCTCAAAAATGGCCATTTTACACACTTGTGTGTATGTAGATTTCTAGATAGGCAACTAGAACAGCCAATATAATTTTCTCTATAAACTACATGAGATAAGTGATTGTTGATTTAAAACAACATGTGAGAAATTTCTATGTACCTTTCCATTTGGCTGTGTCACTTGCAGATGCCACTACTAAATGGAAGGCATGCATTAATTTGATAAAATTCAGAATTTCACTCCAGCTTCTGGGCATAAGTGCTGGCCTATGGTATGGGCTGAGCTGGGCTGTACCTTGGGGTGGGGTTGGGGGGAATCTTCTTTCTTATTATTTTAGCCTGTGTCAGTCCTAAGGAAGAACTCCTCTTTTTTCTTCAGTGACACCAATCCTAGGAAATGATAGTTGGCTGCCTACTTATTTAGTTTCTAGAATTTTAAATTCAGGGACAGCTTCTGGATATATTCTGATTTTCTGTGTGCAATGTACAGAATCAACTGGCACATATTCTATTAAACATCTTCTGTGTTTGTTTCTAAGGGTTCTTCATGAGTTTTGGGTTTAAAAATGGGTCTATATTAGTAAATTCTCATTGCATTGAGGGCATTTAAGAAGTATAACACAGCAAAAGCTGTTTAAGAAACTGATATATATATATATGAAGGAGCATGGTCAGACTTGATGTTTTAGAATGGAAAAAAGGTAAAATTTTTTGTTTCTATGCCTCGACTGATTGCAACTGATTCAACATCTACTGTGGTGCTTTGTACTGAAGAGTTGGAAAGGAGCAGGGAATAATGAAGGAAGGAGGAGAAAGAAAAGTAGAAAAAAGTATCCTAGAGATACTAAAATACCTAGACCCCTGCTCAGATGAAGCCCATAGGCTGCTCAGTTTTCAAGTGGGTTCCCTATTAAGGGGTACATGGACTGTCTGGATGCCGCCAGCCCTGATGAGACCTGATAGGCTAGGGTCAGATGGAAGGGGAGGAGGTCCTTCTTATCAGTGGAATAGGGGAGGAGCATAGGGGGAAAAGACAGAGGGTGGGTGGGACTGGAAGGAGACAAGAGGGTCTACAACCAGGATACAAAGTGAATAAATTGTAATAAATAATAATAAATGAATTAATTTTAAAAGGATAAATCCTCCAAAATTACAGGCAACATGCTTTTTCTTACTGATAAGGATTACTCAGACAGAAGTCCCAGGTTGGGCAATAGAATAAGCTAGTGTTTCCTCAAGAGCTCCTCACACAGGAACTTGTCAACTTTCAAGAAGATCCTTCAAGCTAAGGATGTACAAACTCAGCTTGAGTTTTGGAGATCTTTGAACTTGGTATGTTGGCTCTTGACAATGAGCCAAATGTGGTACAACAAACCTCCTCAAAGGGTAGAGGGATAGGTATTGGCATTTATTTTGTCTTTTGTATTTTTGAGGCACTGTGTTATATGTTCTGCAATTGCTTTCACTACACTGCTCCTGAGGGAGATAAGAAACTGTAGTATATTATCAATGGCCCTTGGGAGGAACTAATTTGTGCTCTACATAAAGTCTCCCATTATTTGAATGGTACAATGATTACTCAAAGCATAAAGAACACAGATTCATTTCTTTTATAGTAAAATAATTAAAAATATTAACTATCAGAATATGCTCTAAAGTAAGTCTATCAGCACAACTAAAAAAACATGCAGCAAAATAATTGCATCTCTTCCTGGTAGAAAGAAACAGTGTTTAAGTAATATTAGTACATTATGTTTTGCAAAAAAAGACTAGAATTTGCAAAAGTTACTGTTCATTTATTAAAGATTTTTACACATAACACATATATGTATACTACATTTACACAATTTTTGGTGATATTTATTAATTAAAATCACTTGCTATTTGAATAAATAAATGCTTTTCAAGAGTTTAGCAGAATACAATAGCATATAACTCACCTGCTCATGAGATTTTAACTTCTCCTTCATAAAATCAACATTTCTTTTTTGTTGTTCATTTTCATCTGTGTACAAATAATCAAAGAATATATTACTAAATAGCACTTAAAATTAATGTGGTAGTATCTGTAACAGTTAAGTTTCTGTTCTTGCATGGTACCTAAAACTCACAAAGACTCAACAAAGAAAGAGAATTTCAGACCAATCTCCCTTATGAATATTGATGCAAAAATACTCAACAAAATACTCGCAAACCGAATACAAGAACACATCAAAGATATCATCCACCATGACCAAGTAGGCTTCATCCCAGGTATGCAGGGGTGGTTCAATATATGGAAATCCATCAATGTGATCCACCATATTAACAAACTGAAAGAAAAAAACCTCATGATAATCTCCCTAGATGCTGAAAAAGCATTTGACAAAATCCAACATCCATTCATGTTTAAAGTATTGGAGAGATCAGGGATACAAGGCACATATCTAAACATAGTAAAGGCGATTATTTCAATCTTCTTGTATCTGTTGAGGCTTGCTTTGTGACCAACTATATGGTCTATTTTGGAGAAGGTTCCATGAGGTGCTGAGAAGAAGGTAAATTCTTTTTGTGTTTGGGTGTAAAGTTCTGTAAATGTCTGTGAGGTCCATTTGGTTCATGACCTCTGTCAGAGATATTCTTTGTTTAATTTCTGTTTTGTTGACCTGTCCTTTGTTGAGAGTGGGGTGTTGAAGTCTCCCACTATTAGTGTGTGGGGATCTATATGTGGTTTAAATTTTATCAATGTTTCTTTTACAAATGTGGGTGCTCTTGTATTTGGGGCATAGATGTTCAGGATTGTGATGTCTTCCTGGTGGAATTTTCCCTTGATGAGTATGAAGTGTCCTTCCCCATCTCTTTTTATTAATTTTGGTTGAAAGTCTATTTTTAAAAGCATAGTTTCGGGCCTGGAAGGGGATTGAATAAATTGCTTACATGAGTACACATTGTAGAAACCATGCTTAAAATAAGAAAGGAAGAAGGAAAGGAAGGGAGGGAAGGGGATGGAGAGAGAGAGAAAAGATAAAAGAAAGACGGGAGTGTTGGTACCCATTAAAAAACCAGCACTGATGAGAGACAGAGACAGGTGATAGTCCTTAGGGCTCATTCAGGGACTGCTAGCCTGACCTACTTGGCAAACTCCACATCACTGAAAGACCCTGTCACAAAATACAAGGTGTTTTGGTATTGCTGGTAGGAAAGGATCATCCTGAGTGAGTTGTCCCAGAAGCAAAAAGACATGCAGGGTATATACTCACTCATATAAACATACAACATAGAATAAACCCACTAAAATCTGTACATCTAAACAAACTAAGCAAAAGAGAGGACCCTAACTAAAATGTTCAATCCCCATCCTGAAAGGCAAAGAGGATGGACATCAGGAGAAAAAGAAAATAGGAAACAACCTTGGAACCTGCTACAGAGGGCCTCTGAAAGCCAGAAGAAAACAGGAAACAACCTTGGAACCTGCCACAGAGGGCCTCTGAAAGCCTCTGCAGTATAGACTGTCAAAGCAGATGCTGAGCCTGATGGACAACTGATGGGCAGAGTGAATAGAATTTTATGTAAGAAGTGGGAAATAGTAAGAGCTGGAGGGGATGGGAACTCCACAAGCAGAGCAACAGAACAAGATAATTTGAACACAGGGAACTTCCCAGAGACTCATACTCCAACCAAGGACTATTCATGGAGATAACCTAGAACCCCTGCACAGATGTAGCCCATGGCAGTTCAGTGTCCATGTGGGTTACATAGTAATGGGAAGAGGGACTGCCTCTGACATAATCTGATTGGCCTGCTCTTTGATCACTTCCCCCTGAGGGGGGAGCAGCCTTACCAGGCCACAGTAGATGCAGCCACTCTTGATGAGAATTGATAGACTAAGATCAGAAAGGAGAAGAGAACCTCCCCTATCAGTGGACTTGGGGAGTGGCATGCATGCAGAAAGGGGAGGGAGGGTGGGATCGGGAAGGGAGGAGGGAGGGGCTTATGAGGGGATACAAAATGAATAAAGTGTAATTAATAAAAAAAAAGGAAAAAAATGATTCCCCCTAACTTACCTTTCAAATTGTGTTGATAGTGTATAGTTTGTTGTAGCCCTTTTATCAAAGTATGAAGAGTAGTACATTCTAAGACATAAAAGATACATTTATTTGAAAATCTTGATTGAAAGAATTGAAACAAAAATGATATTTAACCGAAAATTATGTGATCTTAATAAAGCAACCAGACATCTCAAGGTAAATTACAATATATGGTGTTTTACTTAGGGTTACTATTCCTGTGATGAAACATGAAGGCAAGAGCTGATGAAGAAGCCATGGAGAAGTGCTGCTTACTGGCTTGTTTCCCATGGCTTGCTCAGCTTGCTTTCTTACAGAACCCTGGGCCACAAGCCCAGGTGTGGTGCTACCCACAATGGGTAGGGCCCTCCCCCATTGATTACTAATTAAGAAAATGCACTACACACTACAGGCGTGTGCACAGCCTGATATTATTCCTGAATCATTTTCTCAAATGGGGCTCTCTCTTTCTCTAGATAATATTTTTATTGATTATTTGGGAATTTCACATCATGTACCCCATCCCATTTACTTCCAAGTCCTCCCAGGTCTGCCCCAGCCTATGGCCTCCCTGCGCTGAAGAAGAAAAAAAGGAGGAGGAGAAGGAAAAAGAAGGAGAAAGAAAGAGGAGGAGGGAGAAGAAGAAAAAAAAATAAGAAAATGAAGACAACAAAGAAGAAAGAACTCACTGTAGCCAGCCCCTTCTAGAAAAAGAGTCTTTTCCCATCTGCAGGCCCTTTGGAAGCCATCAACCATTGAGAGCTATACTTCAGTCTCCTTACCACACTTTTAAAGAGTGTCCTTTGATGCTTTCCTGACTAGGTTGTTACTTTTGGGAGGGGGGTGTAGGGTGGAGTGGGGTTAGGGGGTTGTCACCGAAGCCTTCTATGTCCCTCTTTATCAACCCTGAGTCTGCAGTCATTGATGCCACTGCAAAAGTAGCTTCCTTGTCCTTTACAGTGGGAGTACCAAGCGTGGATATCGACATTGTCTCTAGAATCAGCATGTGCCACTGACCTCAGCATGGTCTTCCATGGCAGTATAGACTATGGACATTGACATGGCTCTCTGCCACAGCATGGGCCACAGATACCACCATAGCCCCCAGAACAACCCATGGACACCAACGTAGAGTCAGGTGGCAGCACAGACCACAGATATCTGCATGGCCTTTGGTGGCAACATGGGCCATGGACATCAACACAGTCCCTGGCTGCAGTAGGACTATGAAGCCAGACATAGTCCTTGTCAGCATCACAGACCATAGAGATCAAAATGGTCTCAAGTGGCTGCATAGGTCACTCACATTAACATGGTCCCTGTGGCAGCATGACCCACATATATCAACATAGCTTTTATGCAGTGGCATAGACCACAGACATCTGTATGGCCCTTGTATTAAGGGAGACCGGGTTTCTCTGTGTAGTTCTTGCAGTTCTGGAACTTGATCTGTAGACCAGACTAGCCTCAAACTCAGAGATCTGCCAGCCTCTGTCTCTAGAGTGCTGGGATTAAGGGTGAGCACTACCACCTCCCAACAAGCTCCCCTCTTCCTGATGACTTCAGCTTGTGTCAACTAGCCAGCACATACAGTAAGTACTTTAAAACCACCTTTTTTTTGTGTGTGTGAAATGAATCTGAACACTTAGTAAGAGTTTTCTAAGGCACAGTTCAGGAGAGACCTTCCCCCATGTGCCCTAGCAATGTCTTCAGATCTGGACATGCCTGAGGATCACAAAATGGTTTCCTTGCAACTCTTCTGGGAAAGCACATTCTAAGAAAAGGGAGTCAAGCCACAGTAGGTTTGTTCAAGGTGGAGGGCCACAGCTGCTGAGAAGTTATAGGATGAGGCCTTTCTTTTACTGCTGAGAAATATGTTCTCTTGGTACTCATAACTAAATCCTGGGCAAGAGGAGCTCTATGAAAGGATTAGCAACCCAGAAAAGTGTTACAAGGCATCAGTACCTTGGTGCCAGTGGCTTTAGAAACAACGCAAAATATTTGCTTCAATCATGATGATGAAAGTCAAAGTATTTTACAAAAGTTCAAAGTCTTATGACCAGCACCAGGTTCTACTTTTGGGACCTTTCAGTCTTTTCCACTCCCTCTTCTGTCCCCACCATCCACCCATACAAAGATCTCCATTATACCCTTTCTTCTTTATGTTGTTCTTTCCCAGAAACTGAATACTGGTTAAATTACATTTGCTTGATAGGCATTAGCTAATAACTTGCTTCTCATACATTACTGGGCTAGATGTTATAATAAGAGAGATGTGTTCTCTCATTACTTGTTCTTATTGTAATGAAAACACCACTTACAGAATCTACCAATTAGTGACATAAGGTAGCTGAAGTTCCCTCAGTAATTATCAGATGAAGATCCCCTTGATACTCTGCATACTGGAGGTTTTTTTTTTTTTTTTTTTTTTTTTTTTTTAAAGTAGTTTAAAAATGTGAACACAAGATGGCAGGCTCACCACATTTTTCTTTTACATTAGAATTATCTACATAAGGAATTCTTCATTAACTAGGATACCATTGAATGTACTAAAGTAAAAGCTTTTCTTTGTCTTTGCAAACTTTAATTATATTATCTTTTCTTCCAAAATTTATTATGCTGTCCTATTAAATATTTCTTGATTATTAAGCTATTTCTTAATAATTTAGCACACCAATAATGATTTTAATGCAAATTTAGGATCTAGCATTATCAATTTATGTATTAGTAAATATTTCATAGAGTAGTTTGAAATAATTAGATGAAATTAAAGCATTGCTCATAGGCTGAAGGTTTGGCTCTTAGCTCATGGACACACTGGGAGGCTTTAAGAAACAGAATCTAGCAAAAAGTTAGGTCACTGATGCATGCCTTCAAAGGGAATCATGGGAGCCAGTTCTCTTCCTCCATTTCACATCCAGTCATGAGGCATTCGGGCCATCTCTGCTGTGTCACACCATCATGTGCTGCGCCAGGCCCAAAGCAATGGCGTCACACATTCATGGACTGCACAGTCCAAAACTCTAAGTTCAAGTGAAATTTTCTTCTTTTTAGGTTGATTTCGCCCAGGTGTTTGTTACAGTAATGGAAAGATAGTTACATATAAAAGATTCTACTAGTACTTAGTCTTCAAACAGTAATATTATCACTATCTTGATCACTCTTACAATGTGATCCAAAATTTACTTTCTTTGGTATTTACTCAAGAGGCTACACAAAAACTGTACAAAAATAACTATATCAGCCATATTCATAACAGCTAAATTTGGATGAGAAAGAATCTTTCAATAGGTGAATAAATAAACTGTCGTACCTCCACATGATTCAATAAAATATTTTTTTATTGAGCACAGAAATGTGAAGAACTTTTAATGCCAAGTCAAAGAAGTCACTTTGAAGAAGTGGCATATTATGTGAGTCCAACTATATGACTATTTGCAAAATGAAGAACTATACACAGTAAAATGACCAGTGATGATCAAACATCCAGAGGGATGAGAGGAAGGGAGGTTGAAGGAGCAGAGAGCACTGGGAATCTTTTAGGGCAGTGGAACTAGTGTGCTTTGACACTATAGTGGTAGATGTGTGCCGCTGCACACTTACCAAAACCCAGAGAATGAGCAACACAAGGAATGGGTCTAAGTATACTTTGAATTCTAACTAAATATCCATCAATTCAATATTTCCTCAGGGGCTGTAGCAAATAAAAGGTGTTGATGACAGGGAAACTGGGAGAAACAGACTATGTGGGATCTTTCTATACTTGCATTCATTTTTCTCTGTATATTTAAAACTCTTCCAAAAATGTCTACCAATTAACAAATTTAATCTAAATATTTTCTTTTATGATTTTGGCACACAGAAAATTTCAGATGTACAGAAAAAAATCCAAAGATTATGCACACACACATGTATATAATATGTATAGCCTATAGCACCTATCCTATAACGCCTATTATTAATACTCTACACTAGAATGGTATATGTTACAACTAATGAACCAATACTGATACATTATTCACACTTTATCCATTTTCCATGCTTACTTCTTTTGCTTGTTCTAGGAGGCTCTCCACCATACCACTTTATACTCATTTGCCATGTTCTCTTATTATTATTATTTTTTGCTCTAACAGTTTTGTTTCTTTGATTTTGATGACCTTGATAATCTTGTGAAATAATGGTCAGATATTTTATCATGTCATTTTGTGGGAATTTGTGTGGTGTTTTCTCATGATGACAGTGGGGTTGTAGAAATGGGGAGAAAGTTTAGAAAAGTGTCATTTTCATCACATCATACCACATCAAAGGTATTTACTGCTAATATAGTATCCTTTTTTTTATGTCACTGATCTTCTGGTTGAGGGAGAATTTGCCCAGTTCAGCGCCATGTAATTTACATACTCCACCTTGCTGTGCTGTGTGCGTCCCTACAGAAATTTACTTTACTTGGTCAGCACTTCACCAGTGTGCACAGTCATGCTCTACCAATCTGAGAACAAATTATCTACCTGAGGCACTTGGAATTCTGCCACATGGGGGATCTGTTTCTTCTTAATTTATTATTTTTTTTATAAAAGTGGATTAAGGTTATTTGTTTTGCATTATGGGTATAATTCAACACTGTTACAGTTACTGAAACCATCCCAGTTTTGGTCATTGAGATATCTTCCAGTCAGTTTCTGAGTGTTTTTGACAAACTACATCATTATGGGTTTATATTTTTCTTTTCTGTCTCTTTAAAAAATACTTTTCAGATGAGAAAGGCTCTCTCTCTCTACCCCAAGTTGGACTGAACTCCTAATCCTCCTTCTGCCTCTTGAGTGCTGAAATTCTGTAATGTAACATCACACCTGACTATTTTTTCTGTTTGAGTATTATCTTTCTTGTGACAATACCAGATAGTTCAGTCTTATAAGTTTAATCCTAATCCTATAATAACCCAGTTCTTTTTATTAGAGAAAGATATTAGAAGATAAGATCTGTTTATCATATCTTGTAGGTCTATATAAACGAGTATATACCATGTTTGTCTTTCTCCTTCTGGGATACTTCACTCAGAATGATCTTTTCTAGATCCCACCACTTGCCTGCAAGTTACATGATTTCCTCCTTTTTGATTGCTGAGTAGTATTCCATTGTGTAAAAATACCACAATTTCTGTATCCATTCCTCCATTGATGGACATCTGGGTTGTTTCCAAGTTCTGGCTATTACAAATAAAGCTGCTACGAACATGGTTGAACAAATGTCCTTGTTGTGTACTTGAGCAAATTTTGGGTATATACCTAGGAGTGGTATAGCTGGGTCTTGAGGTAGCACTACTCCTAGTTGTCTGAGAAAGCGCCAGATTGACTTCCAAAGTGGTTGTACCAGTTTACATTCCCACCAGCAATGGAGGAGGGTTCCCTTTTCTCCACAACCTCTCCAGCATGTGTTATCACTTGAGTTTTTCATCTTGGCCATTCTGATGGGTGTAAGGTGAAATCTCAGGGTCGTTTTGATTTGCATTTCCCTAATGGCTAATGAGGTATAGACCTACAAGATATGATAAACATAATGAAATCTACACACCTAAAGAAGATAATCAAGAAAGTGGACACAGGCGAAGGTGATTAATCCTCATTTAGAAAGACAAATGGGATGTGCATTGAACTTATGACAGGAGTCTACCACAAAAGGCATCTGAAAGACTCTACCTAGCAGTGTTTCAAAGCAGACACTAAGACTCATAACCAAACCCTCGGCAGAGTGCAGGGAATCATATGAAAGAAGGGAAGTTAGTATGATATAGAAAGGATAGGAGCTCTACAAGGACCAAATATATCCGGGCACAGGGTCTTTTCTGAGACTGACACTCAACCAAGGACCATCTATGGATATAACCTAGAACTTCTGCTCGGATGTGGCCCGTGGTAGCTCAGTAACCAAGTAGTTTTCCAAAGTAAGGGGAACACGGACTATTTCTAACAGGATCTCAAGGGCAGGCTGTTTGACACCCCCCCCCCCCCCGGGGAGGAGCAGTCTGTTAGGCCACAGAGGAGGACTTTGCAGCCAGCCCTGAAGATACCTGATAAAACAGGGTCAAATGAAAGGGGAGGAGGTCCTCCCCTATCAGTGGACTTGAAAAGGGGCAGGGAGGAGACCAGGGAGGGAGTGCGGGGTTGGGGAGGGAATAAGGGAGCGGGATACAGCTGGGACCCAGAGTTAACAAAATGTAACTAAAAAGAAAAATAAAATTAAAAAAAAAAAGATAAGATCTGGACACTGGATCATTGCTACTTAGAGCCTGTCAGTAGACACAGGAAGAAAATATACATGCTAAATTGTCAGCTCTGAAGAAATACATACAAGTAATATTATACAGACTAAGCAGGTTGTATTGGGGAATTTATATGCATACACATATACATATATTTATATAACAACAATTAATAAAAAAAGAGGCCATGAATTTGGAAGAAAGCAAGGATATAGGTGAGGGGGAAATTATATTATTGTAATATCAAAAAAGAAAAGAAGTAACAAATAAAAAATAAAAAAAACAAAAATATATGCATAGTTTCACTTAAAAATGTTCCTACATTTCACCACTTTCTCCCTCTCTCTCTCTCTCTCTCTCTGTGCGTGTGTGTGTGTGTGTGTGTGTCTGTGCGTGTACATGAGTGGCATGTGTAAGTCAGAGGTCAGAGGACAGTTTTGGGTAGCTGATGCTCTTTTCCCACTATGTGGATCAAACTCAGGTTATCAGACTTGGTTAGCTACAGGCACCTTTACACTCTGAGCCACTTTGCCAGCTCATTTTTAACTCTTAAAACTGGTGACCCACCTTTCATTTATCTAGTAGGAAATCAAGTTTTGCCCCATATGGTTTTACAGATTATGTACTAAGGCTTCAATTTGCCATTTTCTGCATGAGCTGTGTCTGGCAGAAGAATTAGTTTCCTTCATTCTATGTTTTCATGCCTATACTAAAAAGGTATCATGAGACAAACAGTCTGGAAAGTTCTACATACACTTATGGTAGGTTATACATGCAGGGAAAAGTGTCAGCCACCATAGTGAGCACCCTCCTTAGATTAATGTTTCTTTAGGCAGCAATAACTGACCTTCTTTTATTGTGGTCTCTCTTGTTTGCATTATCTTTAATAAACTGTTAGTCTTTTCCAGCTGAATATCCAGAAGGTTGTTCTTTCCAACAGTTTCTATCATTTTCTACAGAAGAAATTGGGTACATGTTATCACAAAGTCAACAATACTATTTTGATTCTTCTGTTAAGAATATGAAAACAAAAGAGAACACAAACCATTTAACATCTGAAAGTCTAAGAACTGAACTTGGGATATAATTTCAAATAAACTATACAATACTGAGCCTTCAATTTGTCATTTCTTATTTGGGCAGAACCTGGTAGAAAACTTAACTGCCTTCATTCGAGTTTTTTTTTTTTTTCACATATTTTGGAGCTATACTAAAAAGAGTTCAACAAGACAGCAGTCTAGAAGTTTCATGTGCACTTAAGGTAGGTTACACATGTAGGGTATAATGTCAGCCATGCAGTGATCACCCTAATTACATTAGCATGGCTTTCTGATTTATTTTCTATTTTAAAAGTAACATGGTAGGGCTGGGAATGCAATCCAGAGATAAAGTGCTTTGTTAATATTCATGGGACCTGTTGGGTTTTGGTTCCAGCAAAATACTATACTACATACTCAAACACACACACAAACACTCACACACACACACACACACACACACACACACACACACACACGGGGAGGAGCATGGTAAAATATTAAATCGGCCTGTTATAAACAAGAAAAAAATGACCTGAGCACCTTTCTTTCAATTATTCAACTTTTAGTCTCATGTTAATCACAGGCGTTTATTGCTTACAATGGTAGATGCCTACAGTCAGCAACTCTGGAGACTGATGCAGGAGGGGCCCCTGAGCCCAGGAGTCTGTGTCCAGCAGGGACCTAAGCCAACAGACACCAAACAATTCCTTGTATTTGTTTCCAGACTACTGTATGATGACGTGACTATGCTATTTATTCTGTTCTGCACTATAACTGCTTTATTTAGCATTATTTTCTGGGAAACAATGTCACAGTCACAGATCTTCTGAATCCTTTTTATAGCTATTCTGAGTTTTATTTTTGAAACTATTAGAGAAATTTTTATTGCTTCTAGTTTTTCTATTACAGACAATAAAAAAAGCATTTGAACATGTTTCTTTGTTATCTCTGTAAACAGTACAATAAGCTTCCTTGTATTCAAGTGAATCAACTTACCATCAGTCTTACGTTTTCTGTACCTCTATCCATATCCCCATTTTTATCTTCAGGCACTTACTTTGTATTATCACTTATGTATCTAAGAGGTAACTTTCTAAATATCATACTAGCAAATCAAAATTTTAATTTTTAATTAAAAATATCATATCAAATGAAAAAAAATTAAAAATTCCTTTCTCATAGGAGTACTTATTTATTTTCCCTGTTGCTATATTAATTTCTGGACTAGAGATTTATTTGTTAAGTTTCAGGCAAAGAGAAGGAAAAGAAACTAGGTAGAATAGGAAAAAAACTAAGTACATCCATGTTCTATATTATAATTAGTCATATGGTAGAAGATTGAAACACAAAACCACTCCACTTGCACATCTGCTACATATATGTAGGGGGCCTAGGCCCAGCTCATAAATGCTCTTTGGTTGGTGGTTCAGTCTCTCTAAGCCCTCATGGGCTCAGGATATTTTACTCTGTAGGTCTTCTTGTTGTATCCTTGACCCCTTGTTCTTCATGTTTGTCCCCTAACAACTGGAGCAGGGATTGTCTCTGACTCTGATGCCTGCCTTTGGATTCCTTTCTTATAGCTGGGTTCCCTTCTCTGGCCTCAGTGGGAGAGGAAGTGCTTAGTTCTGCTGCTACTTGATGTGCTAGAGGGGGTTGGTACCTATGGGGAGAGGTTTCCCTTCTCTGAGGAAAACTGGGAGGGGAGAAGGGGAAAAGGGGGAAAAAGGGATGTGAAGGTGGGACTGGAAGGGAAGGAGGGAGGGAGCTGTAAATTGATTAATTAAATAAAATCAATATTTTTCCTTGCCCTAGGAACATTTTCATATATTAGGAATAAGTTAAAGTGAGAAAGGGAATTGTGGAAGAGTAGGTAGAAAGAATATAAGAGCCAGAGGATGAGGAAGAGTGCTGTGAAACACTATTTTCTGGCCAGGACATGGCTGTTGTACTCATGGACTCCCAGCAGCCTTGGCCTGTACAAGATCAAGCCAGAGTATTGATTGCAGTATGAGTCAAAAAGGGCTCATGGGGCTCTATCTCTAGTTGAGGAGCTTCTGGCAACTGACCACTGGTGACAGGTGTTACTCTCTTGGGGTGCATGTGGCTGCTGGTAGGTAGACAGTATTCTGGTGGGTAGCCTTGTATGCCCAAGCATGCAGGAAACACTGGCTGCACCCAGTGAGCTATTAAAGAAGAAGAAAAAGGGAAGAAGGATGCTGATGAAAAGGTGAGAAGGGGAAGTAGGGGGAAGGGAGTGATTTGGGCTGAATATGATCAAGAAGCACTGAATACATGCATTAAATTGTCAAAGAGAGAATAAAATAGTAAAATTGTAAAAATACAGGAAAAGGTTTAGCAAAATATATATTTTCATTATTCAAATCTGGCTCATTTAAAAAAAATTAAAACATGTTGATTCAACAACAATGATATATTAATAACATACAATGAAAAAAGGTGAGTTTATTGGTGTTTTCAAATTCGTAGCTATTGTTCTTTGAAAATTTGGGACAATAAATCTGCATTCCATAAACTCTCAGCCCTCATCTTGAGACAGGGTTTCTCTGTGCCGCCCTGATTATCCTGGACCACTGTAGATCAGGCTGTTCTTGCAATTCAGAGCTTGACCACGCTCTGCCCCCAGAGTGCTGGGATTAATAACATGCACCACCATGCCTGGCCACACCTTTATTATTTAGCTAACATAGTTAAAATTCATGTTTAAGGAGTAAAACATACCAAGTTTAGCAGTATTTACAAAGACATACAGCCTACAGAAATAATCAAACAATAAAAAACCCAAGTTAAAATTTCAGTCTCCAGTAAGTTAACAGCCCCTCATGGAATCAAATGTAGACCCTGCCCATTATATTTTTAAAATTAAAACTTTTATTTATTTTTATTTTACGCATGTGAGTGTTTTGTCTACATCTAACTGCACCATGAACGTATATTGCCCAGAGAGGCCAGAGGAGGGTGCTGCATCTTCTGGAACTGGAATTACAGACAGCCATGAGCTGCCAAGTGGGTGCTGGGAACTAAGTTCTAGTCTTCTGTAAGAGCTTCCAGTGCTCCTAACCACTGGACAATTTCTCTAGTCCTGGCTCACTTTTTTTTTTTAATGAATTTTTCTTTTTCTCAGTTTTTCCAAGTTTCTCTCGTTGACAAATACATTTTTGCTTCCCTATGGCCATTTGCTATCCTATGTCTTTACATACCTTTTCTATCTGTGAGAAATCATCTATAAGTTTGTCAAGATTTACATTGCTAATCTTCTTCACAGTTCCATCACTGCTTTGATCCATGCCTGAAACAATGAAGAGTAGACAATACTAAGTAAGAAAGACCCACAGCATTACAACATTGATCATAATTCAAGTACTAAAGAAACTGTGCTCTGAGCTCCATTTACTTGGAGAACTTTTCTTATTCTCAGGATTAGCAGCAGTTAAATGCATTGTTTTCTTTAATCTCTACCATCTCTACTTCTGCCAGTTTTCTCTAAACACATCTAAAATGTGTGCATGTACAGGAGTTGTTTGCATCCAATATTTAATAAAATTTAATACTGCCACTGCCTAACATTCATCTCTGCCTATCATCATGGCTGGAACTGATGCATTACTCAATCTGTGGCCTGGCTTTCAAGTGTAAATATTCTCACTTAATATGCTAAACATGATTGTTAACTGTTATGCCATAAATATCTGTTAGCCTGCTTGTGTTTTATATTTTGCTTTTCCATTTTGAGGGGATATAATTTTTAGTAATAGCTAACAGCTGAAATAAAGGCAAAGTTTTACTTTTTTAAATTCCAAATATTTTATTTATTTCAAAGTTTTAACCCTATGGAACCACTCATAGAAATTCTTCAGGTGAACTCATCCACTCAGGATGGAGACATGGAATGTAGGCAGCATTTGAGTGTGGGAGTAAGACGCTGTTTTAATAGAATCAAGATTAATACAACATTAAATATGATATCCTTTCATTAGACATTTCTCATGTAAAAAAAGTGGTGAATATAAATTTGAAACTCAGAAAATTTAGATTTGGAAAAAGACCACAAGCCAATGTATTAGATGTGAAATGGTCTAAAGTAAATAGTCAATGACATTATGAAGCAGTTACTCAAAATACTTTTTTGGTGGTCACATTGCTGTCAAACTGGATGTTACTCCATTAAGAAATTCTATTTTCTTCTCTTTTATGTTACTTGATATTTGCAGTTTTTAATGATTTTGAAATCTGATTTTTGATTATATATTTTCAGTTTAGTGAAATACTACTAATCCCATATTGTAATATTATATTTAAAATTCTTTAGTAAAAAACTTGATTACATTAGAAAATAATTATAATGGACTTCCATGATAAATAAGATAAATTCTTTGTTGAGCAAAGTTAAAATAACTAGCTGATATTGTTACTTAAACTAGAAGATAATCTGAATTATTTAAAAATCTTTCCCTAAAGTTTTTTCTTTCTAGTTTCTAAAATTTAAATAATTAAAAAAACTATTTCTGTCTCAGAACTAGATTCCTGAACTAAATGCTTTTTAGTTTGAGCTTGCATCTTCTCAGATTTTCTTCTTTATGGAGCTCACAGAACATATACACACATTCCTGTAACTATAGTTGAGGATGCTACTCAGTGGAAGTGTGATTGCTTGGCAAGCCTTTGTGTGTGTGTGTGTGTGTGTGTGTGTGTGTGTGTGTGTGTGTGTGTAAGAGAGAGAGAGAGAGGAGAGAGAGAGGCAGGCAGGTGAGTACTGGGTAGGTGTTTCCCATCACAAAACAAACAAAAACCTTAACATTAATATTCCACTTACTATTTTTTGCTATCTCTCTATCACATTCATTTCTAGATGGTTTTTCTCCCCCTTGGATTTTCCAGACAGGGTTTCTCAGTATAACCTTGGCTGTCCTGGTACTTACTGTGTACATCAGCCTGGCCTTCAACTCACAGAGATCCGCCTGCCTCTGCCTCCAGAGTGCTGGGTTTATTAAAGGCAAGTTCACACAACCTTCCCACCCCCCACCCCCTACCCCCACCGGCCCGCAGGGCCTTAAAGGCCATCTTGCTTGCTCCCACCCCCGCCAATTTCCTAGGTCCAGATTCTTCAACAAATTTGGTCTCGCCCAGTGAAAACAGGTGACAAGTTAGTGGTTCAGTGCTTGTAGGCTTACTCTGCTGAGTGATTACGACTTTCCAGGCTCAGTATCCACCAAGTCCACAGGCAAGCAAGAAAGAAACCATTTCTTTCTTTGGCTTGAGTCCCAGAGCTTGCCTTCTTGGAAACCTTACTCAGTCGGGCCCTGGCCCGTCCTTGTATGTGCCAGGAAGGGGGCTCTGGTTGCTTTTTCTTTCTTCTGAGCTCCACCATGGCATTCCAGTTTCCTCAGGGACCAACAGACATGCATGGGTGTGGGCGAGGGCCGCGGTTGTGAAAAGAGCGGATAGGTTAAAACTGTAGGAACCCAGGACAGTTCGAGGAGGTGTAAGGAAAAGAATCTACGGGAAATGGAATTTTAATCTCTCATGAAGAGTTTGGAACGTACCTACTGCCAAAGCGCGACTTCAGTCTCCCGCCAAGTCCTCTGGGTGCCGATGGTCGGACCATTCCAGATTGCTGTCCTCGTCCGGGTGGGAAGCAGGATCCCTCAACTATGGGTCCGCCATTCTCTTGTCCTCTCTGCACCATCCTAGCGACCCTGCCACAGGCCAGCCTAGGTCCCTTCAGCATTTACTGCCTCCTAGATGCTTTCGTGTGTGTGTGTGTGTGTGTGTGTGTGTGTGTGTGTGTGTGTGTGTG